CCTACAAAATATATATATCAATGATCAGCGTGTCGAGTTGAGAAGATTTAGTCAGCCTGTATATATGCAAACTAGTCCCTCAGTTTGAGATATGGATCTGAAATTTCGCACACGACCTTTTCTTCCCAAGAAACTGCTTATTTGTCGGAACCGATATCGGACCAATAGATCATATAGCTGCCATATTAACTGGACGACCTAAATCAAGTTTTTGCAAGGAAAACTTTTTTATTTGACAAGATATCCTCACGAATTATTTTCGGTGAAAACGCTTCAATATCCGAACAAACTGTCAATATAGGAGTATCTGTAAATATGAGGCTAACTTACGTTAGAAACAAGCATTTTTTTATAATAAAATTTAAAATAAAGAAAAACTATAATATTTAATTAAAATCCCTATTTGAAAAAAGTCTAATTTTCGAGGCTATAAAATTAAAAAATAATTGAACGATTTTGGAATTACTTTACATGTCTCCCTGTATAAAAGTAGATAAATCTACTTGTATCTATCTATCTATCTATCTATGAAAGTACGCATTTCAGGTGCATAACGCTTAATTATTCGTTCAGCAGTAATTCAAGGTAATTACACATTTTTTCGCACCTTTATTTGTGTTTTTGCAGCTATTTGCTAGATAGTCATTTGCCAGCTAATATTTATTATGATTCTAGCATTTCCTGCTGCCCCCGGCGTCGTGTTCATTACTATGTGCTAATAACTTTAAATGACGTTTGTACTAACTATATAAGTATATACATTTGCTCATCGATATATGCATATGTATATCTGTGCTAATCTGCATAACTATTAGTAACATTTCTTGCAAAAAAATTGCGAATAAACTATTACACTATATAAAGGCATTCTAAAGATACCCCATAAGTAGATAATTTAGATAAATATGCTTTGTATACTAGCATGTGCTACTGGAAATAAGTAAACACACAATTCTCAAGTACCACCTGTAGGCAATCTGCTCTATACAATAATATATACATACGCACTTGTTTATATGTATATAAATGTATCTGATTATCAGCATGCTCTCTACATTACCAAATCACTTGCAAATTATTTTGTGAGCATAGCTGTATCCTTCTCTCTGCATGAGAAAATTAAACTTTACGCAAAGCTTTTTTAACAACGAAAAGAGCGTGAGAGAAAGCAGAAAATATGAAATTTGAATTCGTAAATAATTCAAAAAATTTTGGCGGTGAAAACATTTTTCTAAAATTTCTGAAAACATAAAAAAAGTTAATAAAAAATTCAATAAGGAAAGTAGCGGAGGTCAAAAATTAAATTTTCTGTTAAATTTTAGAATGTTGCCAATAGTGTCAATGCGTTGGAGAATGTTTAAAATTTTCAAAATATATTAAACTCTTTTAAATTGTTGTAAGTTCAGGAATCTTTCTCGGGTAATAGTTTATGGAAACTTTTTTTATTTTTAATATAGTTCAAATATATTTTCAATTAACATAACCTTAAAAACGAAAAAGGATCCATTAACTAGAGATTAGACTAGAGGCGGCTCTTTACTATTATTTTTTATACCCTTTACTAATATTTTGATTTCAAATAGTCAGAGACTTACTAGACTTTGCTCATAATTTAAAATTGACTTTTAATTTAAGATTCGTTTTTTTTTACAAACTTATTATATTCAAAAATATCTCAATTTTTAAAAATATTCAAAAATCTATTTTACTTATTATTTTCCATAATATTTATTCTTGCTTTTTCTTTAATTTTTTAATATTCCAGAACTACCTTTTTAATTTTTTTATATTTGGTTTTAAAATTTGCTACCAAAAATATTTTTTTATTTTTATATTTAATTAAATTTTAGTTCAACAGTATTTTTTTTTAATTTATAGGTTATAGCTTATTTTGTTGAAGGTTATATTTTTCAAAATATTCAAAAATATATTTTACTATATAGCTTTTTGTAATATTTGCAGTTGTGTATTTTTCTTTAATTATTTACCAGAAATACTTTCTAGACATTTTTATAATATTTTATTTCAAATTATTGTTCCAATAATTTTAAAGCATATTTTATTAAAATTAATTTTGAACAAACCTTAATCATGTATCGATACTAACGCTTAATCAAATATTTAACTGTACTATAAATATTATAAAGTGATTCGGAAAAGAGTTGCCAATATCAAATTTATTATTTGTTATTACTATTATAATAATTTTTTTTATTTTGCCAAAAGCTTTTTTTTCCAAATTTTAAAAATTTGTTTTTGTTATATATGTATTATATGTATATTTATTACCAATTTTTACCAAAACTCTCCAAATATTTTTTTGGTATTTTATTTTTTGACATTATATTAAAAGTTTGGTTAGAAACAATGCCATTGACATTATTTTAACATATAACATATTGTGCTGTGAATGAGTAAGGGGAATGGAGTAACTTTTTATACAGGTATACTAAATACAGAGAGTGTTATCAATTTGAATGCGAAAACTGCGTGCCATAGTCCGGGAGCTGCGGTGAAAGGTTATCAGAAATAAGCGAGTCAAGTAAATAAATTTATTTTTGCAAAGTCACATGTCACTGAAATTTATGATATTTAATAGGACAAAATTAGAAATTTCGTTTTATAGTATGGTTTTCTAATGACTAAACAAAATTTTATTACCATCGAAAAGCGGTACGTTGTATGCTTGCTTGCCAAATACTTCTCCTCTTGTCAAAAGAGTGTTTTTTGTATATGATATTTTTATAGTAATAAAAAATGTCACCAAAGGGAAGTCACAGAAATAATTGCAGGAAAAAAAAACATACTTTCTCTCTGCCGCTGACAGCTTTAGTATGAGCACAACAATTAAGACACATCTTCAAAGGTCAGCAGTTGACAATTCATTGTGTTTTTATTTTCTAACAAACACGTGACAGATAAACTATTCAAAGCATCACAAATATAATAAAAATATTAATAGTATGTTATAGTGCCCTATAAAAATCATTTGCTTTATACTCACGAGCGTTGACAAGTGAGATGATAAAATTGTTGAAATTTTTTTTGTTTTGAGTTTGAAATTCGTGTGAAGAGCAAATACACTACATCTCTGGAGCCGTAATTAATGAATGAATGTTCTTAAAATAAAGACAAAATGACGAGAAGTTAATCATAAATGTATATCGCAATGTGCGATTATTTTTATAAAAGTGTTTGTTATACACATAAAAATTAAGCAATATTAAGAAGATGCAGCACAATTGATTATTTGAAAATAATTTTAGCAAGTAAAAGGTGTTAAAATTATTTTTAACATTTTTCGTTTGAGTTCTTTTAGAATCTTCAAATAGATATTTATTTTACATCAACTTTGAATACTCAGAACAACAGCATTGAAATCGGTGGTAGTTTCCCTGCAATTTATCATATAGTTACAAATAATTTCTTTCTTTTTCTTTGTTGTGAAAAATTTAATAAAATATAATAGCGTTTTCTCTGGTAATATCCATGCCAAATTTCGTAAAAATATCTTGTTAAATAAAAAAAATGTTCTTACAAGATTTTGATATTTTCGTTCAGTTTGTATGACAGCTATATGCTACATTGATCCGACAATGGCGGTTCCGACAAAAGAAGCAGCTTCTTGTTCAGAAAGATACGTGTGCCAAATTTCAGAGCGATATCTCAAAAACTTAGGGACGAGTTCGCTTATATACAGACAGACGGATATGGCTAAATCAACTCAGCTCGTCATGTATATACGTTGACGTTTATTTCTGCGAGTTACAAACTTTGTAGCAAACTTATAATGGCCTATTCAGAGTATAAAAACAATTACCAGCATATATTGCTGAATGCCATTTTCTAATCTTATCAATAGGCCAATTAGTTTAGTTATCTAAGATCCTAAAATCCAGCTATCTAAAGTCACTTTATTATTATATTCTATTAACTATTCATATTATGTTTTTTTTTTCCTAACTTAATATAATATAATTTAACTAGCGGTTAAGGCACCTTAGTTACTCAGCTTAACCTATATATGCCGTTATCTAGTCTAATAATTAAACAAAGATTTTTTTAACAAATACAGTCAGCTAAGTGTTTAGAAAATATGGTACTTATCGGAAGCTAAAGTTATTTTTTAAGTTCAAATTGAATTGAAAAAGTGTAATTTTATAACATAGTTTTTAAAATCATAGATTTTATAAAAATTTCCAACTCACACATACTATGATCATAATTTAAAAATTAGAGCTGGTTTAATAATTTCATCCAGAGAGCGGCGAACTTAAAATACATCATAGACGTTATTTCTGGTGTTTCATATCTAGACCAGGGTAGATAATTTTTGAAAACAAAAAAATCATATTTTTAGGGGATAAAAACGATTTATCTCGATTTCCAAACAAACAGCTGAAAAACGACTCTAGTAATAGTAGCAGCGGGAAAAAAGCACTTTTGAATCGTTTAATGGGTTTTTTTTTGCATTTTCAGAGAAAATTTACTTTTGAAATGTATATATATTTTACAGCGTCAGAAAATAGATATTTCAACGAAAATAAAGCCTACTGACTTTTCACAAAAGTCTGATATTTTGACTTGAGAATTTTTTATTGAAAACTAAGATTTTTTTTCAATATTAGTTCAATATAAGGAAAAAATATATATATATTTCAAATAAAAAATAAATAAAGTGTGCTTAGGGCATAACAAGCTACACCAAACTTCGTGAATGAAAAAAATTGTTGTACAAGATAAAAAGAAAAAATCTAAAAACAGCATTGCTATATAACTTCTTTATATAGAACTCGTAGTTTTCCAGGAAATCGATATAAACCATTTTTAATCCTTAAAAATTCAACCTCCTCAACGCTCTTCCCTTTCCTTTTCCCGGCCTTTTTTTTACAGTTTTTCATTTTGTCATTTGTTTTCGATAGGTGGCAAGAGTTTCTTTCTATCATTTTCTAAGGCTTATACACTAGTCTAAACATATAATGGTAAACTTACATACTTACGAGTATAAAACACATATTGAAATTTCAAAAGGATAATTGCTAAAACTTGTAACGGTATTTAATCTCAAAACCAAATTTAGCACAAATTATCTGAATGATGGTATATGGTTTTCAGTTTGCTGAGAATTAGGAACTCTCTTAATTTTTCACAATACTTTTTCTTTACTAAGTAACTTCTTTTCACACTTTTTGGACACAAAAAATCACACTAAAGTTTTGTATTTAGTCTCTATAAAAATACACATTTGCGCGGAACTTATTGGCAATATTTCATCACCTTGTTGTTTGTGCAAAAGTTGATAGTTTTATATTGATAAACCCCAAGCATGTTGACGATAAGAGTTTACAAACATAATATAAAATCAAATAAGTTTTTAATAACAACAAAAACAAAAAATTTTTGCATTCAAAAAAGTTGCAAACTAATTGAAATGTTTTGCACAATACCTTTGAAAATTTTACACTACTCAGTTGTCCGCACTGACAAAACTAGCAAAAATTCAGATTGTGTGAAATTAGACTTTAACGTCCGCACTAGTTCAACGTAGAGTTGATACTGAATTACGATGAGTCGCAGCGGTTATGTTTCTGCCCGCTGCCAGTCTCTAGGGGTCGCACTAATAACTAACGGCCAAAGCAAGCGAAAAAAAGATCAATCAAATGGCGTTTGGGAAGTGCCGCTTATAGCCGGCCGATGCGAGTGCAATCGTCTGGAGTTAGTTATTGTTAGGGAAACGTTCTAAGCATTTTACAGGGCTTTTAATTCTCACACTCAGCGTACTCGCTCTCCGGTCCGAATACAGCATGAGACTTGTCAATCGAAATATTGTTAGTTTGCAATAAACACTACTGAGTGCTACCAATTGGCACTGCTTTAACTTATGCTGGATAATATTCGAAAACAATTTTGTATTTTTTGCACATTATGCACACATGTGATTAATTTTTTTCTTTTATGGAATACTTCTTTTATTTTATATTTTTTTTGCCAGATCTTTTGCTATATAGACGCACAGTGTCTATACAAATGACCGTGATGAGGTTTCCTTTCGTATTTAGTTTTGTCCATAAAAATTTGCAGGTTTGCGTGTTTGTTGACAAAATAATAACACCAAATATACAATAACAAAAAGCAATAAAAATTTAATTTTGCCCAAAAAAGTTTTCTTTGTTTCCAGCTGCCCTCATATATAATATATATATATATATATATACATAAGTATTTATTTTAAAGTATTTTTTTACTGTGACACGAAACTGCCAGTAATTGCGTTATTTCAACAAAATGAATTGCATCACATTATAATTACAATTATAAACAGTCTCAGATTTAAGACTGTATGACACTCCATATTTTCCTTACCTCAAATTTTCATTACAGTTTCAGTTTGGATGCTACACTTCTATGACAAAATTTATATATGTTTATACTCTATTATTGTGGCTTTGGATCCAACAAACTTTTAGGGGATCTAAATTATTTTGTTCAGCAGAATAATGTGAGCACAGTTGTTATGCCTTAATTTAGTGCAGAACATTCTTAAGCACATTTGAAAACAAACTAAATTTTAGAAATATTGTCCAACTTATTTTCTGATTTCTTTAACAATAATTGTTTTGTACGCAAGTGGATCATAAAACTCATAAAATGTATATGCATACTTTTGTTAGTAATTTCCATTAGATTTGCTTAAATTAAATATTAACTCAATTCTTCGTACCTTCGTGATTATTAATATGTTTATCATCTTCACAATTTGACTCGTCCAACAACGCAGTCAATACTGGGTTTATACTCTCTAACCATCTTGGAAGAGTAAGGCATCGTCCACTTATAGCAGAACTTTAATATTTTAGAAACTTATTGTAGTTTCCCGTGCTGTCGTCTTAGCACATTTCGTAAATGGATAAAATCGAACCACGATCTTTCTTCTTTCATTTTAGTTTTAATATTTTGTAACCTGAAATTCATAGCACAAAGTTATATTACCAATTTACAATTTACTTAACTTAAGAGAGTAACGAATAGAACAAACCACTGGTTTAAAAGAAAGATACTGGTATAGTTAATTATAGATAAAATGAAAGACAGTTTAAGAAGCTTGCTACATTTATATTGAATATAACTTGATAACTTTGTTAAGTTTCTTCAACTTTATTTATATAAATTATTTATTTTAAATGTTTATTCTTAACTAGCTCAATAGTTTGACGCTTTTGGTAGCGCCTGTTTACTATGCGAATATACTGAAAAACAAAGTCTACTAGTTATGCATACAAATGCTTAAACGGTTAACCGGCTGCTTCTAGCAAGTGTGCGCATATTACACATGTTGACAAAAAAATTAATATATAATCAATAAAATTTAATTTCGTGCGAAATCTTTAAATATTCTATACCATATGTACTCGTGTATAAATACTGTGCCATTATTTCGATTTTTTTTCGCTGTTGCCTATATTCAACTTTCTAGATGTACATATATTCAAATTGCAACTTAAAACACGAGATCAAATATTTCTACTTTCTTAACTAAAGTGCTAAAGCAAAGTACATCATGATTGGTATTCGTCTGCTATCGATCTAGTAAATTTTTAAATTAAACGTCGAGAGACATTCATGAGCATTGAACAAAAGCAAACATTCACAATCATTAATGCTTAAATATTAAAATAACTGAAATATATGTATATGCAATACCAAATATGCCAAATATGCAATATAGAAATTCTAACGATAAACTAATAGTTCACCAGCTAAATTTGGTGAACAATAAATATTTTTTCGATAATTAAGCAGCAAAAATGGATTGACTGCGTATGCAAAATCCATAGAAAAACAATTACTTATTATTGAGTGGGGATACAAGTGACATACTATATACATATCGCTTCTCGGCATGTCTACGTACATTATGAAGAAGTAAGTGCATACAAGTGTGTATATTCATTACTTCTTATCGTTTATCGCCATTCTTAGCGTTAAATTACTTATGCAGGTGTTTGCCAAATTAAAAGAAAATTTCAAAACCAAAAACAAAACTCATAAGAAAAAAATTAATTTGCTTTAAGATAATCAAGTTTCAATCGTTAATATCTTTTAGATGGGCAGGTTTACGAAAACCGTTAGAGAAATTTATTATTATTTTTCTTCACTCGTAAATTCGAATGTTTTGTGTATCTATGTGAAACTCTGGAGTGTCTAATAGCAGTTCTTCAAAACATAGCAAAATAACGTGGAAACTATAAGCAACTAATTTATGAGCAGTCAAGTCGGAATTGTGTCGAGACTCTCCTACTACATTCCCTAAAAATACTTAGAAACGCAGTAGTTAAAAATTTGGGTTCGTTAAATGGAAATCTTTTTTTTCGAAGCATAAAACTAAAAACAACAATATTACTTGTAAAAGGAGAAGTTTATTTTTTTACCAATGCTCGCGAGAATCGAAAGTAACGATTTGTATAATTTGATGTTTGGTAGACAGTTGAAATCCAAGCATTTTTGAGTTCGCGGAAAGTAATCTAACGAAAGTTTTACAGTTATTGACGCTGGTGATGAAACAAACAAAGCTCTACACAATGATTCTATTCAAATTGCTGGGAACCTACATATCTATAATGACATGATGAGCAATACTAACACTTTACTGTCTTAAACTAACATAATATAATAATACTGTTATTATTTACAGACTACGTTTTGTAATATTTGATACTATTGGCCTGTTGAAGTAAGACTCAATTTGGTGACTCAATTTCCGCTTTTCCACATACGAATCAGAACGTTTTTTTCGGTCTATTGTTTCATTAAAAAACTTCATACAGCCATTTTGTGTAGACACTGTCCGAATTCCCCGCTTCAGGTATTCCATTCCAGTTCTATTGCTAAGCAAATGTAGTGGTTCCTTCCAGTTTAGTCTCGAATGAACATATTCATTATTTTCAATAATATTTTTAGACATATTATCGATAAGAATTGTGTGTGAAACACAAACGAAGTGTCGAGCCCCCTTTAACTTTATACAATATATGACAGAAATTAAGTGCAGCATGACAAATTATTTAAAAGTAATTAACGGAGTTTTTAGTGTAGAATTTCAAAAAAGTCGATGTTTTTTCATATTTTCAAAGAAATTTTTTGTTTTTTACTTATTGCTAGTTCATACAATTGTGACAACATTGCAGATTGATAGTCTTTTTTTTCATTTCAGAAGACTAGGAAGGTTGAAATCATGGGTATGCTCATGTGCAAATTTTTTGAGACACCCACTTCATCAGCTGCCAGTTTTTTAAATTTTTAACTTTTTTTTCTGCATTCTTGTAACATTAAAAAATAACTGATAAAAAAATCGATAGTAAAAATATTTTATGTCTCTAAACTAGAATACCCCCTTAAGAACGGCCCATTTTCGGCTGAGCTACGCGATTACAGCCGAATCAAAAATAGCGCGCCATTCGTTTCTTCTTCTCGCAGTTTGGCGTATTTCCAACAGCTCTGCTCCCACCAGAGGATGCCACATCGAACACTTTCAAAGCTGGAGTGCTTTCGTCCATTTGGACGACATGACGTAGCCATCGTAGTCGCTGTATTTTCATTCGCTGAACTATGTCATTGTCGTCGTATAACTTGCACAGCTCATCGTTTCTTCATCGGCAGTATTCGCCATCACCTATATTCAAAGGACCATCAATCTTCCGCAAAGCCGTGCTCTCGACAAATCTTGGAGAGCTATGACGAGAATTCGCTGATTGTTTATTTGATGACAGGAGATATTTCGCTTTATCCCCGTTCACCACCAGACCTTATATACATATGTATATTTTCTCATGGTTCCTACGTGATTATTGATAATAATAATAAATTATTTGTAATTGCGTAGACAACTAATTTTGGCTTGACAATAAAGGACAAATGAATGAATAAATACATATTGATTTCACAAACACGGGAATACTTTTCATATATTATATAATCAAATACACCAAAAACAGTAAAGTTTTTTTCAATACATAAATAAATGTTTTCAAATAATTTTTTTCTGAAGAAGAATTTATATTATATCAGCTTTTAAGTGCTCAACGCTGCTTGACTCTTAAAATGTAAACTACTTTTATTGTTTGCTAAAAAAATGTTTATACAAATTTTTTAAATATACTTTGATCACACTGAGTAAATCAAATTAGAGAATATATCTGTATGAGAATCATATGCTTAATAATTGCCTTATTTCATAACATTAAATTGGAGTGCTTATTACTAATATTGCATGCTTTTACCACACACTGTATAAATAGGAAAAAATGAAGATCAGACTTTAAATAACAAATAAGCAAATATTTCTATATATATATATATGTATGTACATACCGATATTGCCAGCTTAAAAGCATCGCTTCTTCTTCATAAGTAAATATTAGTGGTATGTTTAATAAAGTAATATAATTTTAGGCGCATTAAATTTCATCTGATGTTTGATTGAATCGTTGAAATTTCGAAACGGCAGACTTAAATAAAAATACCGTTATATAGAAAGTAGACGCATATTTATTGGAATCATATTGAGTGATGAATGTGGTTAAGAGATTGTAGAAAAAGATATATGCATATTCACCTAAAAATAGACTCTGCCATTTTCAAAATTAAATTTATCGAAAAACACCTTTTTTTAAGAAACTTTTCAATAAATTTTATACTTTCGAAAAATACCCTCAAGTTATTCTTGGTCATGGTTATCAAGGCAACCGAGATAACATAAAACGTTAGAAGAAAAAACCTATTTTACGCGTGAGTAAACTAAGGTTCTACTCGGACATTACTTTAGAAGAAGAACTCAGTACATTAGAATGGATCATAAAAAACTATTTTATTTTTTTTTCGTACTCTAAAAAATTGGTTTGATAGACGAAGGGAAGGTCCTCCGCTTCACAGTTTTCTATTTTTTTCTTATTATCAGATATAAAAATTCAAACCACTCTTCCAAACACTTAAAAAATATTTAGTTTCATAGATTTTGTAAGAAATACGCTGCAAAATGGTCTCTTAAGGTTGAAGTTTCACTATTTTAAGACACATTCTTTTCCACTGAATTATAAATATAACTAAATGAAAAACGTTTTTTTAAATTGCAAACCTCGTAGCCTTGCAGGAAATTTACTGCTCTACAAAAATGTCTTTATAAGTTTTCGATTAAGTTAAGCGTTTACGAGATATTCAACGTCAAATAGCAATGCCTTTAAAAAGAAAACAAAAAAACAAAAAGAGAAAAAAGATACCAATTTTGTAGAGTAGACAATTTAAATAGAGACAGCGAAAATCCATGTGAAGTTGTACGAAGGTTTTATGACTAGCTCTCAGTAATTTTTATTTGATGAGTAAATAAGGGGGTAAACATTCACATTGAAGTGATGGAGGAATATTAAAGTATTTTCCCGTTTAATTTAACGTTTTTGTTCCTTAAAAGTATGGGCATATATTAAGAAGTGATGATAACATGGAATAAAATTCTGTAGAGAAATTAAATAAATATTGTACATCATATACTTTATATTTTGTTATTTTATAAAAAATTGGTAAGGCAGTACTAACCGCAAATTAACTACCAAACTAAATATTTAATTAAAAAAAGATCTTTACTAATAATAAATATATAAAATATTCATTAAAACACAGTATTATAACATATTTAAACATAGTGCTACAAGCTTCTATACTCTGTAATGCATTACTGAAACTTTCTCTCGTGCTTTGTTGAATATCTTTGTGGCTTATGCTCTCACTTAAGCGCCCAACTCGGACATTTTCTTGAATAAAATCGCAAATACATGATCCAACAATTTGTTCCAAGACGCCTTTTGTGCGTCGGTCAATTTCGCCGCTTCACTTAGAACTGTCAGAATTGAATCTCTCAACTCTAAGTAAGATTTTTCCGGTATCTGACGTTTAACGTGTGACTTGGCTAAGTCTTCCCAAATTTGTGCGATCTGCTCTTCATTGGCACCGAGTACTTTGACGGAATTGTCGAAGACTTTCATGATTTTCGTTACATGCGAACGGAAGCGTTCGTTTTTCTGATGTAATTCAAATATAAATGTATAAGAATAGACGAAAAATCGTTAATTGGTAGCTCACATTCAAATCAGCGACTGGTACATCCTTGAAGGGAAAATGCACCAAATTTTGGGGATATTTGGTGACAAAATGCACTAGTATGGCCGCGCCAGAGTCGGTCAGATTAGTTTTTGGCACTTCCCAGCTTTCTTTGATATCGGAAACTTCCTGAGTAGAGAAACCCATTGTATGCCTCTTTTTTTGTACACGTATTGGTATGAGGCGTTAAGCGTCTGAAATATAGCGATAAAAATTATCGGACATACTAAAAAGAGTATTCAATAAATTACTCTATCTAAAATCCGATTCTACTATGATTTCCATAGGTAGAAATATTATCCCCGTACGAGAAAAATAGAATAATGGTTGAAATTTATCGTAAGTCATACACAATTTCTGATAACATCTCATTTTCCAGATCTATGAATATTAAAAATTGTCTATGTATTGTCTGGAGTCTTGTACATTATAGAAATTTACGATTTGAAAAGTAAATACTGCTAACCGTAATCTATTGACTAAAAGTCAATGTTATGGAAGGTCAGCTGATCGTTGGTATTAATAGGTCAGCTGCTGCAGAACTGAAGCCGATAAGCATAAGCTCATTATTAGTTGAATTTTTAGGAGTCGGTTAACAACATCGACGGTTTAGTACTGTCAGATATTTTTGGGGGTTTTCTGAAATCCTGTGTATCTACTAAATTAGGAACTGAAAGATAAATATCCTATAACTTCTCATTTTCTTGATCACTCTCAAGATAAGAAAAACATTTCGCTTCAGTATTATTGAATTTATTAACGAAACTTTTAAAGAACTTTTCATTTTAACTTAAAGCATCCCTATTCTTATTTATCTTGCGTGTCCTCGCCATCTCTACTTAGCCAACCTTACTAATAAATTTTATCAAAGCACACACAAGGCTTCAATATTATTGATACAATTATTTCCTACTCCAAAGTATAGTCATAGAATCATAAGATTGTCGTTATATACATATGTATGTGTATTGCTGTGAAAGTGTGCGTGCGCATCATTAACTGATTACAAATGCTGGCATTTTGTATTGATTATACCTGTGGGATTCCGAAAAGTTCATTTAGTCGAACGGTAATTGTAATTAACAAAGTCAATTAACTTGTTTGCACAAGAAGTTAAGCGTGGGAGATAAAGCGTGCATGAAAGTTACCGCACGAATATTGGAATAGTTTGCTTTGACGGAAATGACAGAAATCGATTTGTTGTTATTGCGGAAGAAATGCATTTCGTTTCTTAGTCGAATGTTAAGTACAAAGGACAAAAACAAAATGATGATTTATGATAGATGCCATGAAGTTCAAATAATTGTCGTAAATAAATAAGTACATACATATCGGCGATATTGAAATATACATTGCACATAATTGACTTTGATAAGATTAATACCTTATTATTCATTTCATAATACCCAAGTACAACTTGGCTCACTTAAGAGTATTTGCTTTTAGTGGAAAATGGTAATTTTTGCATTAAAATCTAGATACATAAGTATGTATATGTAGTGGGTCTTATGAATTTATTAGGCAAGCTTTACTCCTACGCTGTCTTTTATCCACATGATAGCGACTTCTGCATGGAATCGTGATAAATACATGCAAGGAACTGTAATAAAAATGTATATTGTGTATATATACGGCAGGAAAGTTTTTATTAGATAACTCACAGACTAAGAGCATATCTTGAATTACAGAATCACAACCTATAAGGTCCTGTTCCATGTAAAAAATTTAACTGCATTATAATCGAGTATTAAAAGTATTAAAGGATAAATACGATCCAATAATCAGCTGGTTATATATAAAAGGGTTACACAAGATATTCGCTATAAGTTTGTCCAAGAAATGTGGAACAAAACACATCACACCGTCTCAATTTTAAAAACCTACTTCTGTTTTGCGAGGAGTACCCAGAATATTTAAACATTTTTTCTTAGGTTTCAGGCAACAGAAGTCTCAGAGTATTTAAATTATATATAGTTTATGAGATAATACATAAAAGCGGCCTGTATGTTCTTATATCACCGTTTTGTATTTTTGTTTCTATTTAGAAGTGAATTTCATCCATGTATACTCTTCTACGTAAATGGGTATCAACGAGTGCATGTAGGTATACTTATATTTTTTTCTTTCTAGACACTACGTTAGAACTTGATGAAGGGTCGTCTGGCAGTAAATCACACTGCTCTAGTCTTACTTTGAGATCTGTATATACAGCAAAACGGTACCTGCAGGGGAAACTCTTATGAATGCTCTCGCGATAGACGTAGCTTAGTCATTTAAAAATCTCATTATATCGAAAAGATAACGTTAGTTTGGTAGGTAAAGAGATTTTGAAGAGAATACACAAACTATTAACCAATTTTTCATACATTTTAAGAAATGGTAAGAGGGAAACTCCTATGTTACAAATGAATAACTCTTTATTGTAAACTTTGTTGTAAAAAAATTAAAAGAAAAGTATTGAAAGGCACTGACTGTTGGTCAAAAGTAAATCACACTCAGTAGTAGGTGGCTACGAAACATAGGATTCAGAGAACGGCGCGACAAATTTTTGAAAAAAAATTCAGAACAAGTGTTCGCTTTCTATGACTTTCAAACCAACATATTTTTACTAGTTATAAAAGTAGCTATCATGATTCGAAATTGTACAAATTATACAAATGATATTTTCCTCTCAGTTAAAAATGTGCCTTAAATAAACAAACAACATATTCAAACACTGCACCGGTTCAATAATTATTATTATACCCGGAAGAGTGTATATTAAGTTTTTCATGAAGTTTGTAACACCCAGAGAGGAACGTCGGATACCCTATAAAGTATATATATGAGTGATCAGCATGGCTTTCCGTTCGTCTGTCTGTATATGCACGAACTAGTCCCTCAGTTTTAGAGATATCGAACTGCAATTTTGTACACGTCCAAGAAGCTGCTCATTTGTCAAAACTGCCGATATCGGATAACTATTGCATATAGCCGCCATACAAACTGAACGATCGGAATCAAGTGCTTGTATGGACATTTTTTTATTTGACGAGATATCTTCAAGAAATTTGGCATGGGTTTTTATCCAAAACAACGGTGCAAACTCGGAAAAAATTGTTCAGATCGGATACCACTATAGTATATCGCTGCCATACAAACAAAATCAAATTCTTTTATACACTCTGTTTTATTTATGAATTCGTTGTCGCCGAAGTTAACGTTTTTTTTTTGTTCTTTGAAATTAAAAGAAGTCAGAAAACTGTTATATAATTGTTGTGATTTTAACATCTTTATTACATTTTACACCTTTTAACGTATAGTTGTGATTTTCTTTGCACCGCATACCTGCTTTGAGACACAGACAAATAATCGTGTATTTGACTTTAAGTTTGTTCACTGATCAGTCGTCTACACTGAAACTCACTGACAGCGGCTCACTGGAGTCTAAGCTGCGAAATTGGGTTGCAAGTAATGTTTACTTATGTCAGTGGACAATTGTACTGTCCGTGCTAGTTTACTGATGGTAGGAGACTGTTTGGCACAGAAGCGCGACAGCAAACTTATAAAGCCTTGGCAGCGCAACGGTGGCCAGCTGATGGCGCACGCAATGTCAATAGGACGTATGTATGTTTGCAAGCGATGGAAAAGCAGGCGTATAAGCTTACTTACTTTGTGTACTTTCGCTGTCACGGTCAACAGCAGCTATGCGAGGCAGGGCGAAAGAAGCATCTATATTCTTTTATGACTTCTTGAGTTGAGTACATTTATTTTATTTCTCAGATGGTTTGGGTTTTACTTTTTTCCGCTATTATAATGATATGTAGGTACAGGGTAGTTTTTTTAGACTTGTGGTTTTCAATGAGGCAATATTTGTTTCGGAGTTGGTCTTTTTGGACCCAGTTCCCGACTTCGCCAAGAAAATTTTGTTCAGCTTGAATCTCTCTTTTGGTTGAATGTGTAGGTTAATAAACAAAATTATAGCATTTGGAGTGATGATAATCCACAGGCCATTTTTAAGACGCCGTAACACTCTCAAAAGTCACGGTTTGGTGTGCTTTATAGACAGAGGGAATCATTGGTTCATATTCCTTCAAAAATGAAGCGGGCCATAATGTTACAGTCAATGGGGAATGCTATAGAGCCATGATGTATGAATATTTCGTGTCCGAATCGTGGCTGACCTTTGGTTCCAAAAAGACGGTGCTAGCCTGAAAAAAGTGGTAGAAAATTGGGTTTCTCGGCTGGAATTTATTCGAACCAGCTGCGGCGGTCACTTGCCCGAAATCCATTTTAAAAAATTATGGCAAATCCTTATCTTTATAATAAAGCTGAATTATTGATCATAACATTAAATTATATGCGTTTTATTTCTTCTTAAAAAAAACACCTGCTGTGTACTGCTGTGTGTAAATACTGCGGTGTGCTTTTTCCATTTTTGTTTTGCTTTGCTCGTTTGCTTTAATGTTTACACACTTCTTTGCCAATATATGTACATTTATATATTGGGTTTGCTTCACACATTTCCCTACAGCTAATTCTTCCAATTAAATTGTAACTGATATTAGAGAATTACAAAGCTAGCATGTAGGCACAAGCTGTTTATATTGTAGAAATGTTTATATAAAATAATACAGTGCGGTATTTCGCACATATCTTACTTTCTTCCAATGAAGTTATATTATAGATACTGTCTTAATCGTATCATATACATAAGCGAGCATAATGTCTCAAGCAGGGCTTTTGTAGGCAATTATAGTTCTACAGCTTCTCTTGCCTATTCTTTTAGGCAGTTTTATTAAATTTACACCCAGTTTTACTCTTTTTTTAGATCGACGGCAACAAATCAAAAAAATAAGTATTGCTAAGTCTCACCCTGCTTGTCCTGTTCAAATCATAGTCGACTATAGCGTAATTGAACCACAAAACGCCATTAAACGGAAGCCTATCAAGTGCCATAACTAAGCACTAAATATGTATGTATATAAAGTATAATTTTGCACAAGAGATTGCAGTAACAAGTGGCATGTGTGGGCTAAAAACTTTTTAATGTGGGCGTGGCTTCGCCGTCTAAGAGGTTTAGTGTACATATCTCCTAAGACATTCAAGTTATTATAGCCAAATTCGCTCCGCACAAATCATTTAAGCTCCCCTGCCGACACTGTAAAAATGGATGAAATCGGAAGATGACCCGCACTTCCAATATAACGGTTCTGTTAAATACTACTATCAACATATATACTAAATTTAGCCTCTTCGGTCGATTTAATATCACATACTCGTACACGTACATATATCTCATTTGAAGGTGTTTTAATATAATTTTTGCTGATGCGAACTAAAACATAGCAATAAAACTAGGTCTAAGTTAAAGGCATTCTATATAAGTCAAGAAGATACCAAATTTTATTGTAGTTTATTCACGATTTCATCGAATAATTAATGATTAATTCTATCGCACATAAGCATGTATATGTACATATATACATTTACGCCACAAACTTGGCTCTTCGGCGCATAGGTGCTGAATGCCAGATAGTAAACTTTACTAGTAAAGCGATAGAATTGTCTACATTCACTTCAAAAGTTTGCCGTTGACCAATACCACCGAACCATAATGCATTGTTTGTCAATTTTTAGCTGATTCGATGAAGTTATGGATAAGCGAGCAAACATATACAGGCATACAAGTATATCTATATTTGTTATGAATATCAAATAAAGAAATTCACACTTATTTACATAATAGAGCTAGCAAATGCAATATCTAAATATTTATATTTGCACTAGCAACTTACATATGCATATATATTTTTTGCAACATCCTTGTACTATAAATAATAAACAACTTTGAAGATCACATGGTATTAATACATAGAGTGCTCATATCATATACAAGTATGGTGTCAAATTATGATTATTAAAATAATTTATAATCTGTTTCAATTTCGCGTTTAAATACAAGAAGATTGATCAAGCATCGCTCGGTAGAAGCTTGTTGTTTTTGTTGTTGTTATAGTCAAAGAAGTTATTTGGAGGTGCGCTGCCGAGTTGATAGTCCTTTACCGGTTAAAGATCTGCGTCCGTGCTGGTTACGTAGACCCGACCCTCGTGTAAATGTCTAGGGAGAAGCTTCTTCCACACTGATTACCGGGAAGAGCATCACTGATATCTATCTGAATTTTTAAATTGAGATAATTAGTATGCTCTTGTCTTTTTTATTTCGGCATGTAGAGCTTATTTCTACAACATTTATCATTAAAATACGTCAGTGACCTTCAATAGAATTATTGCCTATTTTGGATACTAAAAACGTTATTTTTGTCGAAAGTTGAGTATATGACTGCCACTGAGGGGGTCATGGATACAAATATAAATGAGAACTTTTTGAGAATTTGAATTTCTGAACAAGTTTGTAACACCCAGAAAAATCTTCGGATTATAAATGATCAGCGTGACGTGCTGAGTTTATGTAGCCGTATTTGTCTTTTTGTTCAACTGCTTCGGTGTAATCGAAGTTAACGTTTTTTCTTTATTTCTTTTTTTTTTAATTTTAGACAATAGCTGCGAATTGAGAGAAACGGTCTCATTTTACTCTGAAGCATCCTATACTGTGAAATATGCTCTTAAATTCATTATCGAAAACCACTGTTTTGCTACTTGTTACTGGATCGTTAGTCTCATTGTCCTAATGGAATCAATAAAGTATTTTTCTGGGAGGCATATTGGATGTTCTATAACTTATATTTTCAAAAACCTTATCTACAGGGTGGCCGAGAAAAAAACCGGGCCCAGGAGTAAAAAGGTTAGGGTCTCCTCCCTTCAGGAATCTTATACTTTATACATTTTATCACATCTGTATTAAATTTGCTTTCTTCTTGATGTTGGATGTATAAATCAGTTCATACATAGCCTTTCAGTCAAAAATATTTTTTCAGATTATACCGGAATGTATGAATATAGGGATAGCAAGACTTGACTTGACCTTGTTTATAATCCCCTAGGAACAGACATTTACTCATTCAATCATTTACTCATCGATCTATAAGATAAGAAAACGGTTCTTTTGAAATCTGTTGTCTATCATGGTTAAGTTTTTGAACCTGCAGCTTAAAATCCTACAATTTTCAATTATTTTGAACTTAGAAGTGAGCATTTCGAGCTTTGGCGGCAGCGAATGCCTCCATAATATTCTGGAAATCCAAGTTCTTGACTAACTCTGCCTCTAGACATAGTGTAGCTAGTCCTGAAATCTTGTGCACCTTGTGACGAGCATGATCGCTGAAAAATTGTTGATCCTTGCTATAGCACTAAACGAACGTTCACCACTTGAAGCAAAAACGGGTAAAGTGCAACATATTCACAAACCGATGTAAATATTTGGGAAAAGTCTTCCTAATTTTCGAGCATTAATGGCATTCAATAAGTTGTATGGTGTAAGTTTAAAAATTGGCGTCATAGACGTGTATGAGGTGAATAACTTCAATGGACAACTTATCAGATACAACAACGGTATACTTTTGTGACATAGAAAGTGTTTCTTTTGAATTCAATTTCTTCTGTCAAGCTACTGACTATTCCCTTAATTTTTTGGAAAATACGGACCCCTTCTAGAATTAATTAAAACTTAGACTGTTTATCCAGTAAGCGGAATCGTCCGCTTTTTATATTTATTTAGTATCTATTTATAATGGCAACATATGGTTTTGAAAGCCATTAGTAATTATTACAGTATATAAAAAAAACAATAAAAGTATTACCAATTCGGATCCCAAGAGTAAATAAAATGTGGCAGCTGTATAGCCTGACTGCATTCTAAAAACTCGCCATATGGCCAAATGTTATTTTATCCAACCATCGAACTATTATCTACCAAAGCTTGCAAGTGAGCGGCGGCTGCTAGCGCGGAATAGCCAAGGAAGAAACATATTCAGCTAAAGCTCGCTTATGAGTATTAAATTTACTTTGTATCACTCTCACGCTCGTTAACGTCGGTGCTGCAAATTTATCTTTTGACACGCTCTCACAAACACTCAATGTGAAACTCGTTCTTTTGTTGCTCAAATGATCATGTTGAGATCACAAGCAAGCTTTTATCAGACTGTAAGAGATATTCGTGGATTATGAAAGTGTGATAAAGTTGTGTGTAAAAATAGAAAACGCAAAATTAAAAATATTGAACGACGGAATAATAACAAACGTCAAATGTGTGCCGCCACAAATAATACACAATATAATTTCAATAGTAATACTCAACAAAATAATGCCGACAACAATTCAAGTAGTTCCAATACACATTTGGATAAAGATAAATGTGAAAAACTCAAGCGTTTCATTTTAATTGGTCTGCTGGTAGTGTTGGGCATTGTGGGATGGCACATCTACGGTGAGCGTTAAAACTTAAATTTTTTAGGTGGAAACGTCAACACATACATACTTAAATATTTGCAGAGTACTTCTATGCGGGCAAAGGTGGCAGTGGCGATGATGACACGTTTGTTGAACATGAAATTATTGATCTCACACAGCGTATTTTCGCCGACGAAATGCGTACCAACAACTATCCGATCAACGTGAATTTTCAGGGGAAAACAAAATCTTTCGCGCGTGACGACCGTGCAGCCGAGCCGTAAGTACATGAGAACTTTAACAGCATTGTCGTAAACTAATACGATTTTTTCTCTGAAAGTTTACTCCAGACGGATGATGCGTTGTACTTAACAGACGCCTCAACCACCATTCCATTGTTGCGTCGGCTATTCGATAACTATCTACTAGACGTGAACGCAGTAGAAACCACCACGGCAGAGCAGGCGCAGGAAGAGTTGGATTTTCTCAATGCTGTGCTTAAAACCTCAATAATGAAGCATACAATGCTATTTCTGCAACAGCGAGGTTATATTTTGAAATAGCACCTCTTCGATTCAACTGAGTAGTTTTTTTTTTTTTTTTTTTCCAGGTCTCGTTGCCGCCAATCACAAGGCACAAATTGAATTACTGAAGAGCGTTTGGTTTACCCAGTATTCACGTTCGAGAGGACGGATGGGTAGTTCAGGTTTTGAGCATGTATTTCTGGCCGAACTACGCGATGACACCATTTTGGGTTTACACAATTGGATTTACTTTCATGAGCAAGAAGCCCAAGGCAATTTGGATTATAAAGGGTTTATCGAGAAAATCCAATTGGATAAGGTATTTCATAGAATATAAAGCATACCAGATTATGTTCACTGATATATACTATACATTTGGTTCGTAACACCTTAGTTGAGTTTCCGTGATCGCACTTTTCGTATCATATCCCAACAAAATCGGTTGCAAGTGACCGGCATGAAAACTTATTTAAATCCTACCAAAGACTGTAATTACGGCAGAGTGTGCAAGAACTATTTGGGAATAGTTTCATACTGCTTGAAATTAAGATGATTTTAGTACATACTTGCTCAATCGGAGCTCGGAAGAAACTTATTTTTATGACTATATGGCATAGTTTAAGCGAAAAAAAAACAAAAAAAAATTTTTGAAAATTTTATAGTGGCCCCTTAACCCCTTAACATTACAAGGAAACGGACCGTTTCCATAACAGTCGGGTCTATGTAACCGGAACGGACCCGGATTTTTTCCGGCCAAGGACTGTCAACTCGACAAAATCCTGCCGCTACAACAACAACAACAAGAAAACGGAAAAAAATCAAGAAGCAAAAAAATTACAAAAATTAGCAACTGATTAAGTAGGCGGTCTAAAAAAAAATTTTAATCTAGAATAATGTCTGAGGTTTTTACAAAATGTCGACTGCCTGAAAGCAGAACAAAAAAAATTTTGTATCACTTTTTGAGACTCTCGAATTTTTTAAAAATTGAAATTTGGAGATGGTTCTAGTCTATAAAAATACTCTCTAAATATTTCAGGTAAATCGGCACAGTAGAACCTGAGAAATCGTGGGTATTGTTTTGAAAAAGACAGTTTCGAGAAAACCGCGTTTAAAGTTTCGCAATCTGACCGAACCAGTCGAAAATAAATATAAATTTTGAAAAATCCTCTTGTAGACATATTCTTAAATAATTAAGCTTTGAAAATATAAAAAAAATCGATTTTTTCTATTTCTAGACCAGAATACCACCCTAAGTTCACATTGAACGGTAGGGTAGTCCTTATGACACTCTCTATCGATCTCAGTTAAGTTATGTTCGAAAAATACATGTACGTAAACAAACATTAAGGCACACTTATGGTATATATTTATATTTGAATAATTGATCCAAATCCATTGATTTTTATGGGGAATTCTTAACACTATTTTCTAAACCCATTATTTTAATAAGATGCTCTAGTATTTTAATTAAAGTCATTTAATAAAATATTTGAACATCTGTTCGTATGTCCTGTTGGATTCGTGAACGCAAATACTGTGTTATACTACACCTCAAAATTTTAGTTCTGTACCTTTCAAGTATTATTGTTACCACATACGTTATTTTCTTTTGCAGAACAAATATGTCCTTGCAACACGTTTCACATTCCACAATCATATTAAGCCATATAACACCCTTTTTATTGGCACTTCACCGGAATTCGAGTTGAGTGTTTACACTGTCTGCTTCCTGTTACATGTGGAAGAACCATGTCCGGTGCAAATGGGAAATACTAAATTCAATATTAATACAAATGCTTGGAATTGGCATGGACGGAAGACATTGGCAGCAGCTTATCCGAGCTTGGAGAAATGAAATGTGTAATTTGCTTTAAAGCTTCCGCTTCATTCAGAGCAATTACCTGGAGGCTGTTTTGCTGATTTTCTTATGATATTATTTAAAAAAAAAATATATATTAACTGTTTTGTGAAATTCGTTATCTATTAAGAAGAGTCCTTAAAAAAAAATAAATTCATAAGTTAGAAGTTATTTGAAACGTAGAACGCAGTAACGGTATCGATAACGACGTTATTTTCCTAAATCCGGCGCATGGGTTCTGTCTCATTTTTATGGATAATTTTTTGGATGAAACTAAACCAAGTAGAAGTTCAAAGCCGTTGAGCTAGCAGAAGGGGGCACCCTTATCCCTTTCACACCGTAGTGCTTTCTAGCACTGGATCCATTGACTTCGACTTGCACTAAAACGGCGTTGATCAATGAGCAGCTCTTGTACGACTGCCAGATCCTTCTAGCCTTGTGTGGAAGGCAAAAGATCTTGCTCTCAGCAAAGCACATCTTGCCAATCGTAGGAATTCTCACTAGATATTGTCCAATAGGCATTCATGTTGGAAGGCTAAACATCCAGTCGGCAATTTGCGTCCAATGTTGTAAGGAAGAAGGTGATGTGGAAGCATCCAGGCACTTTATTTTCCATTGTTCAGCGCTTCCAAGACTGAGGTGGAAAGATCTCGTCGAACAGGAGGACACATTGCCGAAACTCACATTAGCCACCTTAACAATATTGTAATCTTGTCTTTATGATCAATTTTATAGGAGTTTTAGGTACCACAATAGACGCTTGGACAAAAATTTATTAAAATAGATTAATATTTCTTTTCTCGAGATATCTTAACGATATACTATTTTTAATCTAATTTCAGCTGCAAATGATCTGAAACCCTTAATTGATAAAAATAGAAGCTTACCGAAGTCAAAACTCACAAAATCCGAAGTCAAGTCGGTTTCTCTCTAACAAAAGATAACCTTACTAAAAATAAATCATAGAGAAAGACTATAAACTAAAGCCAAATTATTGAGCAGATTATATAGTCCGTTTAATTTCTCAGTGAAAAAGAACAACCAAAATTTAGTGATCTGCTGAAGCATGGATGTTTGCCTATAGTTGTCCGCCCCGTATATAAAGTATGGTTGATTGGTAAAAACTTCTCAGATAAAATATTTTTTACGTCTTTGCCTTCAAACACATTTCTCATAAATCTAGTTAATGGAAGGAATTTATTATCAAACGTTCGAGAAACAACTGAGAAATATAGTACTAAGATAAGATTATATAATCCTGATTAGTCTGATGATTAAGGCATTCAAACCTAAATTTCTGCAGGCATAAAATGTAATTGGAATTATCCAAAATCGACTAGGTATTTTTGGTACCTTATTCAGATTAACTAAAGCAAATGTAAAAAACAAGAATGTAAATCTCCAACAAGAAATTTAGAAATTTCAATGAAAGTTCTGTGGTTAACTCTACACACATACAAACTCACGTCAATGGGTTCACGAACATCACTTCAAACTCTTAAGCACTTTCCATTGTTAAGTAATCGCCTCTGGCATGTCACTTCAGAAACCCACAACAGTAATTCAATAATTTCACAGCTCAACAATCAATTGCTGTCAGTTAAGCCGTATTGATTACTCGTTTTGCCATAAATTTGGTTTTCCAAATTGAAGTGGCATTGTGACCTTTTGCTCTTTTGATTGTTTTCGAGCATGCACATAATCTACAAATCGTGTATATAATAGAAATAAATAATAATGATTGAAGAATTAGTGATTTGTGAGAAAAATAGTTAAAATTAAATGTTTAATTGGAGGAAACTAGAAAAATATTTCGTGTAAATTATTGTGCTCAAGAAGCAAGTATCTGACACAATAATTTCAAGGCCACAAAATAATCAGATACGATATAATTGCAATCTCAACACAATACGTACATACAGGTTTGTTGAAAAGTTCCTGCACTCTAAATAAAAAAAATGCTACTTTGGGTACGAAATATTTATTTTTTTCAATATAATCTCCGTTGACTTCGATACACCACTAATTCCAATGATCCTCCAATAAGTTTATGCCATCCTAATAATGACTGTAATAGCTTCATCATTCGAATGAAAACGCTTTCCACGAAGGAATTGTTTCAGTTTTCTGAAGAGGTAGTAGTCGCTGGGAGCCAAATCTGATGAATATGGTGGATGCACAAGCAATTCGTACTTAAATTTCTTTAATTTTTGTCATTATTGAAACATCTTTGTGAGCAGGTGCATTGTCTTAATAAAAAATTATTTTTTTGTGCTGCAAACCAGGTCTTTTCTCACAAATTTTTTCATCCAGCTGAATCAAAAGGCTGCAATAATATTTAGAGTTGATTGTTTTAGCTTTCTGCGGATAACCAATGAACAAAATTCCTTTTGCATCCCAAAAATCTGATGCCATAACCTTCTTAGCAAATCGTTGTGACTTCACCTGCTTTGGAGCTGCACAACCTGCTTCAGTCTATTGTAAACATTCTTGTGTCAATTTAGGATGATAGATCCAAGTCCCATCAATAGTTTAATTAAAACGCTCCAAATTATGCTGAGAAATTTGTTTTCGATCCAGTTTTTGTTGAATTACTAACGTGTGCGGCACTAACTTTCTAAACAGCATTTCCATATGTAATTCTCCATATAAAATATAAAGTACTCGTTCGTCTGAGATGCTTATGACATTAACAATTTGCATGTGTTTTTTGCTCAATTATTTCTGGCGTTGTTGCGGTTTTTGGTCGTTCTTCCCGTGGATCGTATTCAAGCCTATTACGACCACGTTTCAATTCACCAGCCCAAAATTCAACGGTGCTTTTTGAAGGTGAGTACTCCTTATACACTTCTAAATTTTTAAATCTTTCAAAACAAAGAATCTAATCATAGCTCTGACACTGAATTAACTGATAGAATGACTTGTAACTTTGCATGTGTCTCACAACAGATGTACCAACTTGAAAAAAATTTGGAGCTGGTACCTTTCAACCAACCTGTATGTGTGTCGATATTCAAAGATAATTCGAGAGAGCTCTGTAAATCAATTTTGAAATAAACTTTCGAAATTTTAAGGGATCAGCCTCTTTAATTGCGCTTAAAAACAAAAAGACAGATTAAAATGTGGAAGCTTAAAAATTAGTATTCTGCTTTATTCATTTCATTTAAAAAGAGAAGATAACTCTTTGTTTATAATATGCTAAAAAGAAACCAAGATTTTGAGCACTCTCAAAGTGAATTTCTTTATTGGAACCGCCATCAATACATTCAGGGATGACTGGAAACCTTCGTGGAGCTTTAGGTGAATGATACTAATTTTATAAAAGTTCAGTCGAAAATAAAAGAAAGCAGACTCGATATAACTTTTGAAAGAGTAAATATGGGTGTAACGCCCAGAAAAGGGCCTGACTTATTCGAAGTTTTTTATTAATTATTATTGTTCAAACCTGTCAGATTCTGAGTGATAAAAATACTTACTTAATGAGCAGTAAAAATTTTAATAAAAGAAATCTTTGCATATATATTCACAAACTCCTTAATATATATATATTTAGTTCTTAAATAGTATTTAAGTAGTTCTTACATTTTTAATTTGAATTGTTCGAAATTATGAATTTTGTCCAATCGAATAATTATTTTTACAAGCATCCATAAATGTATTAAATTTTTTTTAAATCTAAATGTTAGACATAACATCTTAAACTTACTTACATAGTTACATCTAACAAATATTTAGTTGTGAAAATTGTTTATTTTACACACTATCCAATCGGTTTACACTTCCTTTTCTCCTCTATTTTCTTTTAAAATACTTATATTAACCGTATTTTCTATGGTGTCTGAACCAGTCACCGTTATGCGTCTAATAGCCGTTTGCGCCGGTGAAATGCTCATTTCTGAAATCGAATCAAATTCACGATTGTCCTCTACTTCAGTGCAGGAACCCGACCCGAACGAACGCATCAAACTCGGACTACTTATGCTAAACTCCAACTCGAAAGGATCGTATAGCTCGTTGGAACTACACACACTGCCAGTCACCCATTCAGCGCAACTACTTTTTGGTTGCGGACGCGGAAGGCTGTTGTGACAAATTGGATTTTCCTCCGCCGACTGATCCGCTGCTACCGGTACTTCCTGGCCCCACAGCGCCACTGCCCGTTCGCGATTGATTGCGGCTCTCCGTTGTTGAGCGGCCAACAATGTTCGTGGCGACTCCACTGGCAGGTGTCGCTGATGTTGAGCTATTTGGTGCTGATGTGTGACTAGCCGGAGTTGTGGTTGGTGTGTTGATACCTCCTCCGCTGCTATCAATGGGCGCTGCTGAAGTTGTTGCTCCTTCTTCACCGGCACCCAACGTGGCTGCTCCATCGTACTGATATGCGGACTGATCGTAATCGGCAGCTGTGTAATCGCAATAACCTGCCTGTCCGCCAGCGGTGTCGTAGCCGCTCTGTCCAGTGGTATCGTATTGTCCTGCACTACTATATTGCTGCTGGCTGCCATCGTACGCTGACTGATCGTAGCCGGTGACGTCATATCCACTACCATCGTATTGCTGTTGTCCGTAACCCTCGTAGCCGCTATAGTCGGTTGCGTAGTCATTGCCAGCGCTGGTGTTGGGAGCGTCCATGTTAGGATTGGTGCTGCTGTCCGATATGTCTGCCCCGGCAGTGCTGATCTCGCCGACGTTGTAGTCCTTGATATAATCTTTGTCATAGTCTTTTGTGTAATCTTTGTCATATTCTTTTGTGAAGTCATAGTCGGACTTGGTTGTGTCAGCGACGCTTGGGACTGTTGTACTGCTGCCGATAGGCTCGTTGCTGGTTCGCCGTTTTTCGCCTTCTCCCAAATTGTCTTTGATATTTTCGTCATCGGGATCGTTGAGACCATACTTGCTGTTGTAATTGGACTTGTAGCCATTGAGCGTGTCACTGTTATCATTGGTTGTTTTCTCATAAATGGGCTTGTTGTACATAGGACTGGCAGTGGTTGTGACGGGTGTGGCATTAATGCTGTTTGTAGTGGTAGCGATACTGCCGTAGATGTCGGAAGAACCTGATTTCCCGAGTATGGACTCGTAATTATACGGAGAGGGCTTGGTGTAGTCATCAGTAGCGGTACGTGTGGCGTTGGCTGTATCAAATGTGGACGGCTTGTAGTCGAGAGTGGCTGTGTGGCAATGGGTAGTAGAGAAAGTAGTTAAGTGAGTACATGTGTTTGCGAAATCTCGTTAACTTGTGTAGGAGCGCAAAATATAGAGTGTTATTTTGTGAGATAAAATGTTTAGTACTGTAAGTTTACGTGCTGACGCCGTATGAATAAAGAGCCAATTAGTCCTTCATATGCAAAAATATTCTTAACTCCCAGTGAGTTCACGGTTCTATGCAGATCACATAAGAAATTATTAGGACCAAGAGAGGTCATAAATACTTAAAAAAAAAGTCAATTCTCGTTGAAAATATTCATACTTAGAACAAATACAAGTACAAAACCTTGAAGCCTTTTTAGACTATCCTGAAGATTAGTAGTAAAAAAAATCTGAAGAAATTACTTGGAAATATTATATAGCGATAATAGAATTTGTTTTAGCTGTCGATTTCTTACATATTAAAAATGTCCGAAAAAAATTTAATTGAATGCAGAACATCATCTATTTCAGATGAAGAGATCTTCTCCAGGGTAAGTAATATTTGCAAAACGAGATGCTGGAAACAAAACCAGCTGATAGATCGAAACTTGCGACAGCATGTCCAACTTATATACTGTATACCACAAGTTTCCGAAGGAATTGGTTTAAATAACCTTACATTATCGTTTTTCCAATAACCGGTAAGCTATACCAGGCAGTCTGAAAATAACTCAGAAAACAGATCAATTGCCTATGCCGAGGAAAGTTTTAAATGCATGGTATCGACCTTATGAAATTTTGTGAAACCCTTTGTGGCACTCACATATGTGTACTTGATCTACAACAGTCCTCATGACAACGTTTTCGAGTTGCAAATTGTATATACTCTTATTTTAAGCAAGGATATAAAGATTATATCAGTTTTTTCGTGTATTAATGAGTTTTGAGTGTATGTGAGAACTGTGTTGATTTGGATATTATTTTTGTAGTCTGTATAAAAGTATAAAACAGAGCTTTAGACTTTTATTTTACCTTTGGCGCTTGGTATGTTGCCGTAGGAAATTGGATTACTATCTAACTTCCCAATACGCTCGCTGTTTAGCATGCGATTGGATAAATATTCTACATTCGATTGTAAAGTTGATATTTCCGTTCTATGAAGATAGGTTCAGTGAAGTAGGGTGATTTGGTTTGCATACAGAGAGAGTTATTATATATATATATATGTAGTTTAAACAGTACAAGGGTTAGAAGAGAAAAGGGAAGAAAAAAGGTGAGAAAAAAGAAAAAAGAAAAAAACCTTCGATTAGTAAATTTCATAAGGCAATTACCTTATCTATATCATAAGTGCGCGCAGAAAATTGCTCTTCCCCAGTGGATTCTGCGGTATCACTATTAGAGCCCTGGCGCTCGTTCGGACGTGTCAAACTCCGCTGTTGAGCCTCCAGCCGTTCCGCATGTAACTCCTTATAACTGGTCCAAATTTGCTTTAGCCGATCCATAAGCTTCTCGTTCGTTTCACGTAAACGCAGACGTTCTTCGCTAAAGTAACAAAAGTTTAATTGAACAAAATAAAATAACTTATTACATAACAGTGGGTATTAAGAGGGGAAGAGCAGTTTCACCACGCTAAAACTCAAAGCGCTACGAAATATTTTAGAAAGAATAAAGAAATTTTTGCATAACTATTTTTGTAAGTAAAATATGTAAATATTAACCATTAAGCTAAAAGTGAATCAAAAATTATTGCTCCACATTTGCATTGTCGCAGTCCTCCAATTCCAAATCGTCTAACGGCAGATCGGGTATCTCAAAAGCGGGTATAAGCTCTTTCTCTTCATACCGACTACTTTGCGCACTCTCTTTTATATTTCCACTTGTCGATAACGCAGACTGCGTCAAGTTAACTTTAACTTCAAGTGGTTGTTTTCTCCTATTTTCTGTATCTGAGTCGACTGTGCGTTCTTTGCCCGCTTTGGGCACTAATCGCACATTTACATCCACTTTAACAGGCGGACGTGGCTTTTTCACTTGCACGAGCGTTTCCTCGTGGCTCGTGCAATCACGCAACATATTACTGCTCACTCTCTTCACTCCACAACATTCCTCGCGTCGCAATAATTCCTCGAAGTAGGCGCGTGGCTTGCTATTCGTGTGCGCCATACGTTTAGCGGTTTCTGCCGCGCTGGTTGCGTGTTCGTTTGCTACTTTCGTGTTCGCTTTGCTCTCAGTTGGCACCGTCAAGTGTTCACCTTGACATGGGCTCTGACATGCGTGGCAAACGTCTGCCGTCAATTGTTCGAGGCCACTAAAAGTTTGTTTTAAAACTAGATGCTGTTGCAGCCAAGGCAACGGTTCCGTTTTACAATGACCATATGGGAGGTGACATGTAGCCGGCTGGAACGTGTTTGAGGCGCAAATATTTGCTGACGCTTGTGGTTTGCAGGCGGTGCAAAGTTTTGGACCACCTCCGCAGCCAGCCACACAGGCGCATTGTATGCGCGGGTGAGTCGTGCTCTGTGTGGGCGGCTGAAATGTATTTACTGCGGGTGTAGTAGGTGTGGGCATTCGTTTAGCACCCGATTGCTCAGTCAACGAAGTTGTTGTATCAGCTGACGCCTTGTAGTCTCTTAGTCTACTGTGCGCTTTACAAGCGCCACTGCTGGACGTGCTGATTGTGGCAGCGGCGTGTGCATTCCAAGCTAAATTTTGGCAACTTCTGTGCAAACTATGCGCTTCGGCGCTTGCATTAACTATTGCTGGTGTTGTAGTGTCTATTTTCGTTGCGTTCGTTATGTCTATATTTAAATTAGTTTCTGGGCCCAAAGTGTGCGCGCTGCCAAATGAAAATTTGCGCTGCTCGGCGTTAAGTGTTTGTTTACACGCCGTTGTTTTGTTCGCACTACAACAACAACATGTGCATGCCAATGGCTCCAAATGTGCACTAGCCGCTACGTGTTTCATGTGTTTACTACAATTACAATGTGTGCCGTGGATACCGCACCGACCGCAATGCGTTTCTGTGCGCGTCGCCGCGCGGCGTCCCTCATCGCTGGCGCTACGCGGTCGAAAAGCTGCCAACGGTGTGCGATATAAATGTCCGCAACGCTGTTGACGTCGATACGCCGAGAAGGAGATGGTCGGTAGTGGTGGCATTTTGGCCAATTCGCGTTCAAGTCGCTCATTACTCTTCGTTATGTTCGCTAGTATGTCCTCGTCACTGCCGTAGCGGTAACGTCGTATGTGCGTTTGTGTAAGTGGTGTGAAGCCTGTTGTGGGTTCGTCTTCTGCTTCTTCAGCTTTACGCGCATGCAATACGTTGGCGGTGCTGGGCCATTTAGGCGGCGAAGCGTACGCGCTTCCGTTTGCGCCCAAAGAAATGTGAGTTGACGCGTTTTTTGGTTTGGTGCCCGTCACTGATTCCATCAACATGGGTTTGTGTGGTTGTTTTGACATCTGTGCCTGTGTAGCGTGTTGGGGTGTTGTGATCGCCATTGTTGTTGTTGTTGTAGTCATGGGTAGTGTTTTTGCTGCAAGCGCTTTGGCTGTCATCCGTTGTAGTGTTGTTGTTGAGCTTGTAAATTCCGCTGTTGGCACATACCACGCTACGCCGCTTGTTGTAGTTGTTGTTGTTGCTACATATGATGTTGGCAATTTTTTCGTCGTTGTTGTAGATGTCTCGCCCGGCACTTTGGTGGGTGTTGCCAGTAATTTTGTGGCCAACTGAGCTTTCGTGTTCGTAATTAGGCCTGTCGGCAGTGTTTTCGTTGCGGTTGCTGCGGTGCGTTTTGCTACTACAGTTATATATAGGTATATTGAAGTGTTCATTGCATATCAATAGAATTTAATTTGTTTCAGGTGTGTGCATCATTATTTGTATAGAAATTTATTTAATAGCGTATAATTTTGCATAACAGTTTTGTTTTTATTGTAGTTTTTTGTTATTATTATTATTATTTATTTTTTTCAATGTTATCATTTGGTACGAGCAAGTGGGCAGCAGTAAAAGTAAATAAAAATTGTGAAAAAGGACAACGCATTAATCCAGCGTGTTCTCTAGTTCTTTGATTGGTTGGTTGGTTGTTGTTGTTATTATTAATAATATTATTTTTGTGTGAATGGCGATTTGTGTTGTGCATTACTTATTAGCGTTTTTAAATTTTCCTCTGGTGCAGTCCGTGTGAATCTAGGGGTATTTGGCTAGCTATTTCACATTTATACCATACACAATGATTATTTTTACCATTTTTAGAAGAATTAATTAAATTTTGATTTATATTATATTCCTTTTCATTAATTTCGTTTTTTCGGTTGTATGAAGTGCAGTGGTAATACAATTATATAATTTCACAAAATAGTAACTAGCCTTCTTAGCTTTTCGAAAATCGTCGGACTTCGGAGAGGTGTAAGGAAAATAATATAGTATATATGATAGCGATGATTCCCTAAAGAATTCTCTATTATTCGTATAGACGAGCTTTACTAGTTAGAAAATTGTTTATAGACGTACCAAAAGTAAAATCATTCACTGCTTTCACATTCTGTGAGACAAAGTTTTTCAGATGGTGAACTGGCATGACTTAGCGCGTCCAATACTCCTCAACTCATGTAGGTGTGTTTCTATTACCACTTCGGACGGTATTTTTCACTTAGAGTAAAGACAACCGGTGAAGTGGCCTTCACCTTTATTTGCAAAAGTGAGGGAAGCGTAAATTGCCTTAAATTATTTTTGGTGAACAATAGCTAAAGGCCATCCAATACATGTATGATACTCGTGCCGAAATGTTTTTTGTTCACGATAACCCTGATAACTCTGAAACATTTTAGAACAGAATTCGATCTACCATCGACGGACCTTAATTTAAAGTAACTCAGAAAAATAATATAATATCAAGTCACTCATTAAAATTAAACTCATTTTGGGTCCCTTTAATATGAAAAATGTATATCAGTTGAGTGATTTGAAGTACTGCTCTGTTTTCTGATAAATTATTGAATTTTTTCGTGATCAAATATAAATTGATAGATTCACAACAACACTTATAATACTGCAAAATTTCAGCACAAAACTCTATTCACGGAACGTATATCAAGTTAAGTTACATAACATGTTAGCTTAAGCTTTTTTGCGGTCGTTTACTTATATTTTTTACGCGACGTTTTTTCATTTTACCCTAAAGGGACTTGTAATAAAGCATTTTCTACTTTTTCCGGAAGTCGAAAAGTAAAACGTAGTTTGAAGCACACCCCACAACTATTTATGCCTTCACGAAGCGGCATTCAATATGAAATTTTAAATAAAAATCGACTTTTTTCAAGTCCTAACCTTAAAATAATTTCCTTACACCATCCTTAATCTACTATATAAACTTTGACTAAAATTTTTGTTTTCAAAATCTCAATGTATGTATGTAGATATAATATATATATTTACTTGTGTTTAAGAGTTGTGTCCTCGAGTTTACTCGTCAACGTTTTGCATTCGCTAGTCAATTTATCCATGAGTTGCTTCTGACTCTGTATCATATCCTCAAGTTCATTTACCGTTTCGGCTTTGATACAAAGATAAAACAAAAATTGCAATATTTTATTAAGATTGATTATTAATTTTTAATTATGTTAAAGTTTAATGAGTCAAAGGTATGTAATGTGTTAATTGAAATTTCACAAATTTTACTAATTTTTTGTACAAGTACTCGGTTGAAGTGATTTTTCTTTTTCAATTTCGTTTAGCGCTACGTAAAACTCATGGATAAACTATTGACTTTCGCTGATTGCATTTTAAATTTTCTGAACTCCAATAAAATATCTATTATTGCTATTTAGAAAGTTATGCATTATAGTTGCCAATTTGATTAAATATGTATTAAATACAATAATTCGGATTTAATTTTGTTTTTGTTTAAACTCTTCGAATTAAAAAATGAAACATTGTCAACATTCACAGTAGCCAAATCAATAGCTTACCCAAGACGACACTGCATAGAGATCAATAATGGTGCATTTAACTAAATATACTAGCTACATAATTTCAATTGATTTATTGATGGTGCTGGAGTGATAAATTAAATACATATTTGAAACCAATTATTTATTTTCAACTATTTTAATTTCAAATAATTTCTTTAAATAATAATTTTTATTTAAGTGTGATGTGCTTTCTTATATGGTCTAAGGTTATTTGCGTTTCTAACCTCAAATTTGATTTAAAAACAAAAAAAACTTTAATTTCGTTGGCACCGAAGCGATTTTGTTGTTTCTATTGTAGCGGCAAAAACATTCTTGAAATAATTTTGAAGAATGCTGCCTAATTGACAGTCCTTGGTCAAATAAAAATTCGGGTCCGTTCCAGGATACGCAGATCCGAGTGTCGTGGAAACGGGCACCGAAGCGATAATACCCTCCACAGTGATCCGATATCTGCACTTCTGACATATGGTCAGCTTCTTTCAAATCGATATCTCAAAAACTGAGGTACTAGTACGCGCATATACAGACAGGCAGACGGACGACCAGACAAACATTGTTAAATCGGCTCAGCTATGCTACTTTACTATATTGAATATTATAGGTAATAACCATCTAATTTAAATCTGAAATAAACTATAATATATAATATAATTATGTATTTTTATGTGATTCGAAAAACTTTAGTAGGCTTTCTGTGAACTGTGCCTGAATTAAGAAGGTGCAAATTTGGATTTTTTTTTAGTGCTTTTGTAAGTTGAATTTCCATCTAACAAAATTTACTATCAACAGATTCTATGCTAGTTATGTGCTATCTATTAATCCACTGTGTGCATTCGTGTCAAGTTCTATAGAAGTTGCCAAAACATGGTTTGTATAAAATTGAGAAAAAAGTTTCAAACTACCAAAAGTCTCACCATGCTTCTCCTGCATCTCGGAAATACGTTTGTCTAAATCCTTTTTGGTGGGACGGATTTCATTTTTCATTTCGCCATAAGCCAGCTGAAAAGCAGCAAACCAAAACAATATTTAAAATAACGTTTTGATGTCAAATTAGTGTGATCTACCTCCTTCTCCAAATTGGCGATCTCATCATTGAGACGTAATATTTCGCGTTTGGAATGCAATAAATCAGCATCGCCACGATCCAAACGCTGTCGCAACGATGTTATCTCGGCTGTCAGACGCGTCGCCTCGGTTTTCGCCTCACGCGCCGCACGATCCAATTGCAGTCGCAATGCAGTGATCTCTTGTTCCAACGATTGCTTCTCCGCATTCACTTGCGCCATATCGGCAAGGAAGGTATTGCGATTGGAACGCAACTCCATCTTTAACTCTTCGATTTGTGCATTGCGAGTCGAGAGATCACGCTTTATATCATTTGCATAGCGTTTTTCACGCTCTAAATCCAACTGCAATTTGGCTACCTGCTCCCACTGGCTGCTCAGATCGCCACCCAATTGATCGACCTGCGTGTTGTAGCGTCGCTCGGCAGTGGCACGCTCATCTGCAATACGACGCGCCATCTCATGTTGCAGTTCGCGTACGCGTTCGTGCTGCCGATCGAGCTCTTCACGCAAATGCTTCACCTCCAGCTCGGCTTGAGCACGCTCCATTTGGACAAGATCATTTATGTAGCGTTTAGATGAGGCGCTTGTGTACTGTTGTGACTTTGCATCGTCTAATAGTTTCTGCAGTTGGCGTACGCTTTCTTCTAACGCATTCTTCTCCTGTTGCAATTGCTCGATTTGTTTGCGGTGCGTGTCACAGTTGGTGGTAGACGAGCTGCTCACTGGCGCATGTGCATGCGCACCAGCTAGCACTAGTGGGTCAACGTGTGCCAATTTGCGTTTGAGTTCTTCGTTTTCCGTCTTCAAACGTTTCAGATCAATATTAGCTTGCATAAGCTCCGCCTCAAGTTCGCTTATACGCGCTTCGTAGACAATATTTGGCGCTGAAGCATAACGTGGCGACTTTACGGCGGCCGAAATGTCTTTCTTACTGCGTGGCGTGGTAGACGATTTCTTTTTATAATGCTGTTGTTCGTCACTGTCGGAAGAAGGACTCGTTGTAGGTAGTGTCTTCTCGACACCCCCTAGCGCGGCTAACTCGGAACGTGCGGTCTCCGTGAGGTGCGTGTTCTCGTTGATGACGTCTTTGACTTTACCAAGCAAATTGGTTAACTCGTTGCGGCAGTATTTGGACTCTTTCTCCAGCTGTTCGATGTAGTCTTCTTGTTTTTCAATAAAATTAAAGATCTCCACCGGTGCATGGACACCATCAGTGACGGGCTGCTGCGTTTTGTTGGGCGCGTAATAATCGAGCGGTGCCGTTACTGTTGTAGTGCTGGCCGCATAGGGCATTTGTAGTGTCAAATTTTCCTTGGATGATGAGAAAGCATTGAAAGGTTTTGACTTGCTGCGTACGCCAGGACTAATGCGTGACTTTTGTGCTGGCGACAAGTACTTTGAGATATCCGAATAAACGGGACGTTCGATGACCTGTGATTGGAGCAAAATATGTGTTAGTATATAATTAGACATAAACTACCTAAATCTAAATGTTTCCAAAGCCGATGATGCTTTTGAAATAGAGAAAAATAAAAATATATGATTTATTGAACGGTGGAGCTAAGTTCCCACATGAGATTTTAGTCTCTTGAGTGATATGATAAGGATCGAGGATGAAAGAATAAATGCTTGTTAATGTAAAGCAGACGGCAAACCGCCTATATGGTTCTTCTTCTACAAATGGTTTTTGAAAATCTTACTGAAGGAGCAGCATATGCACCGATAATAGTTACATAAGCTATAGAGAGTAGCCGAGGCTCATTAGACTTATTGCTGAGTCAAAATTTGTTTATGGGCTTGAAAGGCGGTTTGATACCCATCATCTCTGAGAACCAAGTAACCTTTAGAACTCTTTCCAAGAAAACCGTAAACGAGACGAGATTAGACACCAATCTTTCTTAAGGACGAAAAATATTTATTTACCTATTGTTTTCAAAAGCATTAAATTTTAGAAATAAGAGATAAGACTTTGTCTCATTTATTATGAGATTGGTAAGTGTGCTCAGGTAACTTTTACTATAAATATCTAAGAGACATTATTAGAACACAAAGTCCTTTATTAACAGCTGATTTCCTTCACGATATTCGTCTTTTCCAATGATCACTAACTGCAATCTAACTAACAATCTAATTAGATATTTTGCACTAAGAAAAGAGTTCAATGCACCGTCACGCCACGCCAATTAGACAAATTGCCACAAAATACTTGATTTCATACTCACCGACAAATTATCCGAATAGTTATCAGTCGAGTCCTCATTTACGTGCCGCATATACGCCCCCGAAGCGCCATTGCCGCCAGCAATAGAACCAGCACCACCTCCTCTGGGCGGGGCATATGATTCAGCCAACATTAGCTTCAGCCGGCTAACGGCCTCATTATATGCATAGTTCGTATAATCCATCGGTTTAGATTTCTTGTGCGCCGCGCTCCTGGACGACTTCATTGGTATGTGTCTAAATGTTGTGCGCGAAAAAATAAAGTTGTATTAAAACTTTGCGAAAATTCATTGCCTTCATCACATTTTTATTGAGAAAATAGTTTTATTGCGAACTTCTAACGTTTTTTCCGCATTTTTTACACCCTGTGTGGCACGCCACGCATTCTAAGCAACAACTAAAGCGTGGTGAGCACAACAAGGACTGCGGAGTCCTGCTGTCATGCACTCAGTTCTGTAGGCAGCCACAATTCCGCCCCTAAAACGCCGCAAGTGAAGTTGGAAATTCCCTGGTTTTCTTCCCATTTGAAAGTTGTGTTATTTTACTTTGTTCTGTGTTATTTTGTTTTGTGTTGGTTCGTTGCTATGGTAGTTTCTGATTGGGAAATTAACCTGTTCGTAACACTTGGGTGCAATTGTGCCAGTTTTATTGTTTTGGTTTTGTAAGTTTGAAGCAAAAAGTTTATTTGGTGGTTGTTTTTTAGTTGTTTCTCTTAGTTTTGAGTTTTTGTTTGTTTTTTTTTATTTTTGTTGGTTGATTTGGTAACGTTTGAGTGCGTGCTGAGCACACATTAATTTGAGTGGCTGAAATTTTTGGGAAGTTCTACAAAATTATTTTATTTTTTTTTCAAGAATTCCCTACAAAGACTGACAGTATTTAGGCTATTCAGAATCAATTTTTCAACACTTCTTAAGAGTTTGGAACCAAAAAAAAAAATTACACTAAACCAATAATTAGTACCGAAATTTTTCAAAATCAATACAATTTATAAAAAAAAAGAAAAGAAAAGAAAAGAAAAGAAAAGAAAAGAAAAGAAAAGAAAAGAAAAGAAAGAAAGTAGAAACTAACTTAAATATACCACAAAAAAATCTTTAATAAAATTCAATAAAAAACTTTTTTTTTGTTTTTAAAATTTTTAAAATATACAATATGCAGATTAATAAAACAATTTTGTGAAACGCTTCAAGTTTGCTCAAAAAAAACTTAGTAATTTATAATTAAAAACAAAGCCATTTTAAAATCCAGATTTACAAAAAAATTTATATCATGTTTTATAATACTAAGTTTAGAAATAAATTATTTTCGAAGATGCAAAATTGATTATTTGAATGAAAACTTCCGGATTCGAATATGTTAATTCAAAACATTACGCTCCTGTAAGAAATTGTACAAATATTGAAAAAATTGTCAAACCATTCTTACATATATTTAAATAACTACAATGTTTGTATTCAAAATTTATTTATATAGAAATAAATCAAAACTTTTTTAACGCAAATTTTTTTATTCAAAAAGCAATGAATATAAAAATAAAATATTTGAAAATTTTTTTTTATAAATAATATGTAGTAAAATAATCAAACTGAAATATTCATATCAACCACTTCGACTAAAACAAAAATTTAATAATATATTATAATTTAAAAATGCTAAATGTAACACAAAATAAAATTTAAAAAGTCTTTTAAAATATATATTTTTTTTTTTAAATCAAATTTCCAAAAATTTATATCTATGTTCAAATATTATACATTTAAAGACAAAAGTTGCAGTCATGCAAATAGTAGTAATAATATGGCATTGTTCCATAAATAAAAAACATATAATTTTTGCTGCACTATCCAGACTAAATATGGCAGTTCACTCTATATCATCTTATATAAATTCATCATAAAAATTACGTTTTAAATTTTTCTTTTCAAAAATATTTTTTTTTTAATATATAATTTCAAAATTTACCTATAATTTACATACCAAAAGTTTGTATATAAAAACTTTATTTTAAAAGAATCTTTAACATTTCTTTCAAAAATTATCTTTAGGAAACTAATATTTGATAATTAGTTTATTTATTGGATAATTTATTTAAAATTTATTTTTGAAAATTAACTGAAATGATTTTGTTCCAATTTAAGATTTAGTTCTGAGTTTTAAAAGAAAAAAAAATTAGAAAAAATGTGAAATTAAAAAAATTTCATTTTAAAAAATAAATATCTCATAATTTTTTTATGTTTATAACTGTTACAAAAACAGTTGAAAATTTTATTAAACAAATTGGAACTTAACAAAAAAGATGAGTCTCAAGCATTTTAATTTAATTTTTCAAAAGTAAAAATAAATAGTTTAAAGAATTTTTGTTTAAACAATATTTAAATCAAAATAATTATAAATAAACTTTTAATATAAAAGTTTTAATTTCAATTTTAAATTTCTTCTTTTTTAATTTCTTCCGTCTGTATATACGCAAACTAATTCCACAATTTTTGAGATAATGATCTGAAACTTTACTCACGTCCTTTTCTAGCAAAGAAGCTGCTCATTTGTTGGAACTGGTGATATCGGACCACTATATCAAATTCTTGTATTGAAAACTTTTTTATTTGAATAGGTATCTTCACGAAATTTGGCATGGATTATTCTTCAATAAAAACAATATTTACAATACAACCTCCGAAGAAATTGTTTAGAAACACACTGGCCGATAAAAATCTAGTTCTTGTAAGGAAAACGTGTTTATTTGACAAGATATCTTTACGAAATTTCGCATTGAATATTGTCGTTTTCCGTAGGATGTATGAGAAACATATATATACATATTGTATTTGGTATATATAGACATAAGTGCAACGAGTGTACTTATCCTCACTAAAAAAGGATTTCGTATATTTCGAAGCACCTTTTAATTGACGTTTCGCGTTAAATTTTATTCTGCTTATAACCTAAATTCAGAAAGTGAACACACTATTTCCAACGAATATTTTTAAAAATAGTGTTTTTTTTTAATTTTTTCACATTTCCTTTCCCAACAAAAAATATTTTTGTATTAAAAATAATACCGAGCTTGCCTTGTACGCTGCCGCTTGCCGCCGATGCGCGAACTACAAACACTATCCTTATCCGAATGGTCGCACGATGAGCGACGACGACGCGTAACGTGATCGCTACTCAGCAGTTGCGAAACGTATGACTGACGTGCGCTGTGATTGAGGTTAGCTAAGGCAGTGAAGAAATTATCCGACTTCATCTTCAGCAATGCAGTTTGGTGAAGCAGCTAACAAGGCGCGAGTATATAGTGTACATTTAGTGCTATGTGGTCGACAGGGAGGCAGGTTGGAACAACTTTATTTCGCACAAAGTTTTCTTGCGCTTAGTTATTGTAGTTGTAGTTGTATGTTATATGTGGTTTAATAATTTGACATGCAACGTTGCAGCAAAACACACAAAGCTTTGCGAAATCTAACGATTGCAAATGGGAAAGGGAAATGCCAACGGACAGGCACTTCCTCTTCCTTTCGGTGTGTGGTAAATTGTTTGCCAAGAACTTTATAGACGCGCTGCGAGACGAAACGATGTAACTCGTGATTTCCGACGCTCGTTTTCAGCTGATTTGCGCGTCAAAAGTGTAAACGCTGCGGTCGTTTAACCCTTCAGTTTCATTAATTGTACTTTGAATTTGTGCAATTAATAATTGTTTCTGTTTACTTGTGGCCACTCGCGCGCGCTTCGCATCTAATTTAATGGCTGAACTGAAGCGATGACAGCGTTGGTGGGCTGCTTTTATAGATTCGCTATGCTATGTTGTGTTATTATTGTGTGGGGGTTCGGTTGCGATGGAACTCATACTAAAAACGAAAATATCCTGAGAAGTGGTGATAAATAGTACAACCGGAAAGGGACAATAAACGCAGGGGTTTTACAAATTTTTATAGGTTTCGTGCCATGTAGTACAAAATGAGCAAAAAACCAAAACAACAAATAGCAGCAGAAACTAATAACATTCCTAAGCACAATTTGAGCATTAACTAGTTGAAAGGTTGCCCCTGGCGAAATGGTAAATAGAACAGTGGTGAGGCAAATACTGTTGATTATGGTAAAGTTATGAAAAAAGAGAAGGTAAACTCAAATCGAAAATAAGTAAACCAACACTAAAGCCAGAGCATACTATTACACTCCCCAGAATATGCAAGCAGTTCAAAAACTAAATTATTCTGATCGCAAGGGATCAGCTAGAATTGACTCTACTAGACCGTTGGCCGTCTCAAATTGTGCTCTTCGGTTAAACAGAGAACCCTGTCGGAGACGGATTTTAGCAATAGTCTCATGGACTTCAACATTGTCCTCAGAGTTTGCCTTCAATATCGATATTCTATGAACCAAAGAGGATGTTGTGGCCTTACGATCAATGATGGAATGTGTTGGAAGCCTTGTAGATAACTCGAAGTATCTTCTAGTGTCTGAGGAAGCTGCTTTGAAGAGTAGAAGACCAAAATTTCGCCAAGTAGTTATTAGATACAACATAACCAAAATCATATCTCTGTACAGCATGATATTTCCACTTACTAATTTCAGGATTGAAACTCGCAGGTAACCACAAAATCTCCTACTGGATCAGTGATGCCAAGAAGCTGACTTCTTCGCTGGTGTATAAACTTTTAACAGAATTTTGTATAATCCATGTGTAAATGTCGTTCGACAATTAGATAATAAAAATTATGGAGTACAGAAAAAAGAGGCTGTTTCAACTTATTTTTCTGGACAAACGTTACTGACTAATGTTTGGAGACGAGCTCTATTTCAAGATTAAGTCACGCTATTCGCTGACTTTTCACATAAGAAGCCTTAGCAATACTTCTCCGATACTTAGAACATATTTTGTAGCCTAAACGTGGATTTTTTGCTACAATGTAGTAAAATATCTCAATATGCTGCATACTTTTAGGCGGCTTACTGCATACACGCCACTGTTTTCCCGCCGCAAAACAAACACCCATAGTTATGTAAATGTAAACGTTTATGAAACCCTCTAAGACCTATTTAACCATATTTCAATGCTTCATCGCTATTAACATGCAACTTTTGCGCCAATTTCACGCTTACAAGTTTGATCAATACTTGTGGCTTAATATCATCGACAGCAACGACGGAGACGAACCTGATGACTTTTGTCGCTTTCGACAACTTTGCTGGACTCCTTTTGTTTTTGTGGATTTTATTAGTAGCACTTTTGTTGCTTGTAATGTCACACATAATACACATTGTTTTTATTTTCGTTTTTTATTGCAGTTATTTTTTGTTGGAAGACATTTGCATTTATTTTGTGGTAATTTGAGTGCATTAAACTTTGCTTGTGAATAACGGTACACTTGTACGTTCGCATTTATTTCAGTGGCATGTTGTCTTTCTTTTGTGGCTGCCAAAACTATATTAAAAAAAGAAAATAATGATTTTACAAACTAAAAACAATTTTTAACAACCACACAAAACCACAGCTGTCATACAAGCTCGCCTCACAAAACTAGTACATACAAGGCCTAGAAGTTAATGCAACAAATTCAATCAACTTGTCAGCAAATTGATAAACGTATTTATCGCTTAGTAAACTTTGTTCTTGAACTCAACTTTAATTTATTTCATTTTTTTTTCATCAAATGATGTAACGAATTTGTATTGATTTCTAGTTAAAGTAACCAAATGCAATATTTTTGGTTATCTTCAAGGACTAAACCTATATAATTAACTAACATATCTTGATGGAATTCAATATTTCCAGAATAAAAGGTAGAATAGAAAAGCTTGTCACAAGATAGTGGAGCAGTTGAATATATGCGATATCACGCAGAAGAGCAATCTACGTACTGGAGTAGTTAGTTGTACGTAATCAGCATTTTTTATTTTCGAAGAATCGACTCATTGTCCAAACCTAGATGGTTTCATTTCTGTTATGCGGCAGATCAGTGAAAAAACGGTTTAAAGTGCTGGCAAAGAAAATCGCGAAGGATTTACCTTAAATCCACTTAAGGATCAGTTCGAAAATCTCCTAACATAATATTGCTTATATTTAAATTAATTTTCAAAATTCACAAATTATTGGGCAAACTGCTTATTTAAAGTAACCTATTACAGAATACATTTAGATTGTATTGTAGTTACCATTATATGTATGTCGGATAATATAACAATAATATTAAAGAATATGAAAGACAAGAAAAACCTGTGAACTTCGGTCGCACCGAATGTCCTTTACAAATACAAAAGATTCCTTAATACAACTTGATGCCGATCGTTCAGTTTGTCTGGCAGCTATATTATATAGTAATTCGATCGGAACAATATGTCCGGAGATTACAGCGATGCCTGAGATAACAATATATGCCAAATTTAGTGAAGATATCTCGTCAAATGAAAAAGTTGTCCATACAAGTATGACATTTGTATGGCAGCTTTATGCTATAGTTGTCCAAAATCGCCGATTCCGACAAATGAGCAACTCTTTTGTGAGGAAAGGCAGTGTACATAATTTCAAGTCGATATCTCAAAATCTGAGAGATTAGTCCGTATATACACAGACGAACTTTATTGGGTCTTCGAAGTTTTCTCATGGGTACTACAAACATCGTGCTATTTTCTTTAAAGATATTCAATGTAATCAAACTCTAGTGTAGTAGTGTAGACAAGCGCTCAAGATCAATTTCTCGCTAAAACATTTCTGCATACTATAACAAGGCTGTAAAGTAATCGCTAATATATAAAAAGTGGCTACTGCCAACTATAACTCAATTGCCAGTGGTAGGTCGTCGATATCCACTCGTAATGTAAATTTTGGTATAATATTGCTGAGTGGCGACCATAATCGCGCTATTATAGATGCACAACAAAGATGTTAGTAGCAGCAAAGACAGTATAACAAAACTTAGTCGTAGATACCATATCGGAAATGTGGCAAGTTTTTTTTAAATATAATAAAATTGGTACAAATTATCTCTATGTCAGTTTAAAATATTTTAACTGATATCGTTCTTAACCTACTATACAATGAAATGTGCCAGTCTTTAATTTGATATATCAGTCTGTTTGAACAGCTGGAGTTTGTTCGATTCGCTACTCTCTAACTCTTGACGAGCTAAAGTAAAATGTAATGGAGTGCCCAAAATGGATTTAGTGTGAGTACCAATTCATCTAGTAACGAATACTAATTCTTGATAATCCAATATTTTACGCCTATTAGCGTCTTCGTTAAAGTAAACATATCATCCATAAAATATTTCATCATTGTTTATTTTCCAATTAATTACAAATACATATATTAAAGGAATTATACTTATAATCTATTATTTTTTCTTACATGCTTAGTTGTAGAAATAATTATAAAATTAAGCACAAAATCATTTATAAAATGATCAGCACAGTGATATTTTTCAAGGGCATCAACTTAAATCGCATAGAGAAAAATTTTATTTTATATGTATAGTATTGTTATTAATTAATAATTCTCAGTTGTTCGGACATAATCCAGCCCTGAGGGCAATGGAACCTTTTCAAAGCCTTTTGGAAACAATTTATTTGCCTCTTCATCAGTGACCTCCGGTTGAATCATGACCTTATCGCCAAACTGCATAAATATGAAAAAAAATTTGTAAATTTTAAAAATAATCAGCTTCATAATAACTTACAGTCCAATCGACGGGTGTGACCACAACTTTCATTTTGTAAGTTAATTGCAATGAATCAAGGCTGCGCAGAATCTCACTGAAATATCATAAATACATATATAAATTATTCCTTCAATTGAAAAATATCAATAATATTTATCAAACAAATTACTCACTCAACATTACGGCCCGTAGAAATGGGGTAGAACATCGACAGACGCACTTTGTGATCGGGGCTGATTATGTAGAGTGCGCGTATGGTTTGTGCTATTACTGGATCGCGTTTCTGATCCTCGTCCAACATGCCAAAAAGTACAGCTAAGTCACGGCGTGGGTCGGCAATGACGGGGTAGGGAAACTCATTGGGTATTTCTTTGCAATATGATTGTATATCTTTAACCCATTTATTATGCGTTTCTATATCATCGACTGAGTGTGCCAAGCATTTAGCATTACGCTTCGTAAACTCTGGCAGTCTTACAGCCATACGCGCTAGTTCTGTGGTGCAGACGGGCGTAAAGTCCGACGGATGCGAGAATAATATCACCCAGCTGAGGAGTAATCATAAATCATAAATTATAATTTCTAGATATTAGTGTAAATAAAATAAGCGAGATAGACATGAGCTTATTATGACAATGACGAGATTAGTTGATTTAACCATACAGTTCATTCCGAGAACACGATTACCCGGTTATAAAAAGTGATATATCATTTCCAAGGATTTAGTAGATATTTCGATACATACATAAATGTGGATAATATATAGGACCTGAAAATATCGTCACTACTGTATTCTAAGGAGAGTTCGTCATTTTTCGAAACCGAATTGTTTTTATAATTTTTCACAATGTAAAAGCTCAAAACTAAAATACAACTATTCAAAATAGTTTACCTATTTATAAATAAGTGTATTCGACTGTGATTTTCAGTTAGTTTAAGAATATTTCAAATATATTCAAGTTCATTTTTTAATTACTACAAAATATCGAGATTGGCAACCCTGTGTTGCAAGAGATTGCTCTCTTATTCTCAGCTCACTCGTTTCTCCGGAAAAAATCCAATTTTCGCGGATATCCCACTGTACGGCCTGTGACTGTTCATTTACATTGCGCTCTCAAGATAGGTCGTATCAGCTGATTCGGTCCACGGTTTGCGTCGGTGACTGTTTGTGCCATTACATACTGTAATTAACAGGTGGTTTAGCGAACCGGTCGTGGTCGTCGTGCACTGTTAGCAAGCTGTAAAACCTTATCACGCTTTCGCAAGTATGCTCTTTTTACTATTTTTATTCTCTTGTGTCCAAATAATTCTCTTTCGTATGAGATTAATTGAAATTCTACATTAAGCACTTGTTGTACATACGAGGTTTGTATAAAAAGTAACACGAATTTTGTTTTACTTAAGAAGTGTTTATTTATTCGTGATATCTATTTTCTCCGCATCAAAGTAATCACCCCTAGATATAATGCACTTACGTTATTATGTAAATATATATCGGTGAAGATGCGATACACGTAGACTGCGAAAATTCAAAGTTCGCGATAATTTTCGAACAAATCTCGTATTTGGCCAATAACAACACATTAATGGTGCGATACCATATACACCAAACCTGCCCCCTTTGACTTTTTTAGTTCTCAAAACTGAAGAGACCCATGAAAGGAGCTGCGCTACAGTTGAGGAGATAAAAACTGCATCGAAGAAGGAGCGGAACAAGAGCTAAAAAAATTACTTTTTTAATTGCTTTGAGAATTGAAAAAAACGCTGGCATAAGTGCATTATATCTAGGGGTGATTACTGTGAAGGATATTCAAGATATACGATAGATATTCATGAATTAATAAACACTTTCTTAAGAAATACAAAATTTACGATACGTTTTGAACAAACCTCGTATTTAAAAAAAAAACACATCATTTTATTTCACATAAATACATATGTAGTATGTATATATTTATTTAATTTGGATAAGTGATTTAAAATTCTTCTAATGAATACGCATACATTACTAAATAATTTATATTTTCATAGGCAGCTGTTTTCTCAATTAGCATGCGGATCACGCTTTATAAAAAATTTTCTCTTTAAAAAAAAACGAGTTTTGTTACTTCGCTGATATTTGTACTATATCCCAACTATTATACATATATTCATAAAGTATGTAGTTACGTATTTTTAGCTGTGAGATATTATTATTCAGTAAACATGATATCAACGAACAGCTATATTCATGTACATAAGTATATCTGTAGAAAATAATTAAACGAAGGTTTTTAAAAACACTTCTCCGATATTTATATATACATATATTTTTTAATTTTCACACTTACTAATTTAATTACACTTTTCAAAAAAAACTTCGCATTATAAAATTTGTTCATAATAATTTTTGCACTTACGAATCGCCTTGCCACTCGAAAAATCGAATTTTCCCCATAGTGGTATCGGCTTTAAAATTCGGCATTGTCGCTCCCAAACGCATTTTCAATGTTTATTTATTTTTTTGAATGTAAACAATTTTTTTTTAAATTTTTTACAAGCTTTCTTCTAGAATTTAACGACGTATACACATGTGCAGAAATCCCACATTTTGCTGTTCACTCATTAATTTATAGCCTTTTATATGCCAAGTCGTTTTGATATTGTAAACACGCTCTCTCTTATATTAAATAATTTTTCGTGTAGAGTATATCAGAGCGGATAACCTCTTGTGCTCATACTCAAATAAGCGGATGAGTTGTTATCAGTACACAGATTATATGCATCCATATATTAGTAGGCGTAAACTCAACTAGACATGTGAATGTTTGGAGATACCTACTTTTTGATTTAAGCAAACTGTAAAACACGAGAGAAAAAATTGAACTGATTAGTATGAGTGAAGTACATATGTTATGTACTAAATATAGTCAACAAACATGATTGCGGCAGGAGCGTACGCGTGTTTTCATGTAAGAGGGATGACAAAAAATACCTGTGATAACTGAAAGTTGAAGGGTGAAATAGTATATGCTTTGGTTTACTGACTTAGTTGATGAGAAAAAAGAATGCCCCTTATTGCATGAGCAATTGTGTTGCGCTTCTTGTTTTATAAAGAAATTATTTTTTCCATGACAAAAACTTCTATAAATAACTAATACTTTTTTAGTCTTAAGTTTTGAAAAGTACTTACAAGTCTTAAGTTTTGAAAAGTAATAAAAAAATTTAGTTTTTTTCATTTTTGAGAGTAGTTCGTCACATCAGCCGTTCGCGAACTCTCTTGTATCAATTCAAATCGATAACTTTGTTATTGTTATTGCATGCGAATTTTTTGACAAGAGAGCAGCGCTAAGAGATGGCGAGCAGAGAAATGGCGAATGGAAGACAACTACTATACAAGAGAGTATGTCACTTAAATAATATTACTGCTTCCTTCAATGTTATCAAGTCTGTTTTTTTTTTGACATTTTAGGTCCGGTTTACTATTGTGAATGGCTTAAATTTCAAATGAAAATATAAATATATATTTTTTTTCATTTCATTTTGAATTTTGACAAGAAAAAAATAATTTCTCCACAAAGAATGAATCGTAGCACAATTGCGCATGCGACTGAGAACATGCTAGTGCAGGGTTGCCCCACAAGCTCTACGCATTTGTTTGAATAACCGTTGTAGTTTGTTCGATTCGCTACTCTCCAACGCTTGGCGAATCGAAGGCAGCTGGAGTATACAGTTGCTTGCTAAGTGAAATGCCTCAGAGCCATAATTCCGCATAAAACTTTTCGCCTGAGCGCGCTGATCAATCGATGCTTATGTTGCACATTCCTGAGATTCAGACACACACATACACATATTGTATTACTGTGCTTTAAAGTGGATCCTAACATTGCCACCATCCGCCTAAAGTAAAGGCTGTTAAATAGCACACGTTCTCAACTAACGATCACTTTAACAAATAAATACAACAATTACAACACACATACGCACATACGCAAATAGCTAGCAATGAGGGCAGTTAAAAGCTGGTCAACGACGATCGTGAATGCCTTTTCGTTTGCTTTTTCGCTGGTTTACGCATTCGTTTGTACATATGTATGTATCCAAATATTTTCGATTGTTTTCTTTTGTTGTTGCATTTATTGTTTTTATTGTTGCCATTCCAATGATATTGGCCTGAGGGCTCTCCCAGTCAACTTATCGTAGTGGTTAGTCGTTTTGCTACACTATTCGCCTTTGTTGTTGTTTCGTATGTTGTAACATATTGTACTTGTTATTGTTGGTTGTTATTGTTTTTGTAATGATTTTCTTATTTTGTTTTAGTCCATCATTTGTATTGGTCATCACCTTAACGACTGCACAAGGGACCGGCATATTTTGCTCTTTCAAAATCAACAACAACAATAGCACATAATGCAAGTAATTATCCATAGCCGTGTCGACCAAAATATTACACGTAACAATGTTTCACCTAAAATCCACGTATGTATGTACAATGAACTTGTTTATTTCTCGGTCTCTCATTTTCTCTCTCTTTTTACTAATATTATCGCCATTATCATTCCAGTTAATATTGGTGGTTGATAGTTGAAGGTGTTTACTAACATTTTCTGGTCATAAATGCTGTAATAATAATGTTACAGTTGTGGCAACAACAACATAAGCAAACGAACTGAAAGAAGAGAGCACAAGAAATCAAAAAACTGTGACATATTCATACGTACAACACAAGTTGTTATTAGTGAGAAGCAAACAAATTCTGCAAGAAATACCACTTTTCCAACTTAATGTTGTACTTTTTCACCAGCCATTATGCTACTTAAACTACCAGCTTGTCGTGTCTTAATGAACCAAAACAGTAGCTATTATGCTGTTTACTCTTATCAGACCCTTTCTATCCATAGTAAAAACCTCTGAAATTAATTATTTGGAGGGTATGTGTAGTTGCACCATGCTGATTATACAAGTTTTCCCCTCAATCAGCTTTTTCAAGTGATCTTTTATTACTCAGAGAACGATAAACTCATATACAAGTGAATAGATACGAATACGAGACGTTCAAATATGAATGAACAGTTTATTTGAGTGTTTCTCTAAATAAATTTTTGTACTAAACTATTGAGTATAAACTCAAACCGGCTCAAAGATATATAATGCTAATTTAAATGTGACTATGACTTACTCCATTTCCGCAGAATATTTTTACTATGAGTAATTTTTCATGCTAATCGCTCTCTTTACTTGCAAAATCGATGAGTTAGTAAAGAGTGAGAATTTTTCTTTCACTTATTTTTCATAAATATGAAATTCTCAACAACTTTATACAATTTTGTGTGTAGTAGTTGCATTTAAGTTTTTTTAAGGGTATACTAGGTTTGCTACGAAGTTTATAACACCCAGAAGCAAACGTCGGAGATCCTATAAAATATATATAAAAAGTAAGGAAGGGCTAAGTTCGGATGTAACCGAACATTTTATACTTTCGCAAAGTCAAATGGTATACTCCTCAACGAGTTTTCTTTGTGGATTGGCTGATATTTTCGGTAGAAGATCAACTATAGACACTGGGGTCCACATATTTAGTACTTAGGGGCTTGAACAGTTTTGGGTCGATTTAGACAATTTTTGGTCACAAGGTGGCATACTTTAAACGTATTATTCACGCAAAGTTTTACCCCGATATAATCATTGTTGCTTGATATGCATAGTGGAAAGTGAAATAATCAGATGGAATTAAAAATGGTGTTATATGAGAAATAGGCGTGGTTGTAGTCCGATTTCGTCCATTTTCGCACTATAATATAGAAATATGAAAATAACGTTATGTACCGAATTTTGTTAAAATTGGTTAAGCAGATCTCAAGATATGGGTTTTCACCTAAAAGTGGTGCCAGGCCCACTGTCTAATTTTGATTCGGTTCCTATAAAGTCATCTCATACCATCTCAGAGATAAAATTTAATGTCTCTGGCGTGTTTAGTGCTTGATTTATCGCGCTTTTAGTAGTTTTTAACAGTACCGTTATATGGGGAGTGGGCGGAGTTGCCACCCAATTTCAACTATTTTCCTACCGTCAATAGAAGTGCTAAAAACATTTGCTTCCAGTGAATTTTGTTAGTATAGCATTAGCGGTTTAGGAGATATGCACATTAAACCTATTAGAGGCGGGACCACGCCCACTTTTTAAATAAAATTTTAACTGCAAATGCCCCTCCCTAATGTGATCCTGTGTACCAAATAACAGTATTGTATCTTATTGCGGAGCTTAGTTATGGCAATTTATTTGTTTTTAATCAATAGCGTTTGTGGGCGTGGAAGAGGTCCGATTACGCCCATCTGCAATACCAACCGTCTCACGGTACCAAGAAACATGTCTACCAAGTTTCATAAAGACATCTCAATTTTTACTCAAGTTACAGCTTGCACGGACGGACAGACAGTCACCCGGATTTCAACTCGTCTTTTCATCCTGATCATTTATATAGGTATATATAACCCTATATCTAACTCGATTAGTTTTAGGTGATACAAACAACCGTTAGGTGAACAAAACTATTATACTCTGCAGCAACAGGTTGCGAGAGTATAAAAATAATCAGCTTGATAAACTGAGTAGATTTAGCCATGCCCGTGTATGCATCTGCCTGTATATACGCGAACAAATCCTTTAGTTTCTGAGATATCTCACCAAGAAGCTACTTACTGCCAGAAATACCGATATCGGACCACTATACAATATAGCTAAAATACAAACTGAATAATTGGAATCAAGTTCTTGTATGGAAACGTTTTCACTTTAGGAGATATCTTCAGGAAATTTAGCATGAATTTTTACCTAAGGCATTTCCGAAGAAATTGTTCAGATCGGACCATTATACTTAGCATATATGTAGCTGTCATTCAAACTGATCGATATAATTCAAAATAAGGATAATTTTATATCTTCTTATGACATAAGAGTTGTATCTTTTATGGTCTGGGTGCTACAAATTTCATAGCAAACTAAATATACCCTGTGCCGGGTATAAAAACTTTATTCATGAAAATTTGCTGTTCAATTGCTAAGTCCACACCAAGAGCATTGGGCGCCATGATATTTTAATCACCAAATATAAATATCGAACAAAAATATTTTACAATTTTGACATCCTGCAGAATGACATGTAATTAAACACAACAGCAACAATTAAATAATTGAAAGTTTGTTGCTTAAGTCTTTTGTATACGAATGCACAGTAGGTATACACAAAATGTGTGAATAACAACTAATTTATTAACGATTTTCTGCATTGTAGGCAGCTTATCACTCGGTTAAACACATTATTATTATTAATAAATGTCCCTTCTCCTTATTACTTGCAACTCTCAGCTGTTTTTTCGCAGTTTACAGTTGTACATTTTCTACGCTCTACGCTCTTCAACCAGCAAAACCGTTGACAGCACCAACTCACCACACGAAAATACCTTCACAAACACTACTTGCTATTCACCAAACAACAATAACAATAATAATAACAACAACAACATCTCATAGAAATGATCGAACCAAACTCGTTTGCTACATCGAAGTTTTGGCGATTTAGCTGCAGCAGCATCAGCGCTCGCTCCTTCTAGACAGTCTCATTTCGTCTGCGCTCCAATGCTGAGTGCGTTTTCTTGTGGTGGTTAAGTGAACGTGACTGGCGCGCGACCGAAACCGACGGCTTAGAAGCACGACGGGTGAACAAAATCAATAGTTGTGTGTGTGTATGCACATAATTGTGTTGTGAAAAAATCAAATATATATATATATGCTATGTAAGGTGTATTCGTGAGTGTATATTGCAGTTATTTTGCTTTAAGGCATTCGCGTGTTCGTGTGCGAATTTTTTCAAACCAAACGAAAATTAATGAAAAAGTGCACAAAAATGCAGCAGCAATAATTGTCAGCTACAACAACAGCAGCAGCAACAGCATAAGTAATTGTAAGTGCTTACTAGTAAAGCGGGTTTGTGTTGGTGTATATACATATATCCCAAGCACTATATAGTGCTTATTAAATGCATAGAAATATGTGAGTGCTGTCGTAATAAGAAAAATATATATATATATGTACAAATACCTGAGATCAACTGTGTTCAAAGGAATACGAAAATATAAAACAAAGTGCAAGAGCCCAAACAACGTTTGAAACAACAGCAAAAGCAAAGTGAACAAGTGAAACAGCGCATGAGCGCACGAAGTCGTTGTTGAAGTGATCATGTAGCCTTTGGAATTTTAGTATGTGTGTGCGTGCTTGTGTGTGTATGCGTCAGGTATATAAAATATGTGTATGTGTGTGTGCATTTTTCTGTTTTCGTTATGCGTTTGCGTGGAGAAAATATTCAAATGAGCACAAAATTGTTGTATTCAGGCACAACAAATGCGACAGCAATAATAATATGAATGGTAAATGTGTTCAGCTGTGTGTATTTGTTGTAAACTATACATTTTATGTTCACTTTATACACAGAAATATGAGGCTAAATACTAAAATTGGTATTTCAAACAATAAATATTAAATTGAAACCATTAAATACTCTTCCAAGGGCATAAATACAATACTTCGAATATGCTACAACCGTATCGGAGCTAAATGAAAGTTACAAAAACCTGTTACACATATTGTGCGTGAATTGTGAAAAATTTACAATTTATACGAAAAAAAATTATAAAATGTTTTACTTCTTTGCAAATTTAACTAACCACAGCTTGGTGTTATGTTAAATATATGTATAAAATACGCATTCCACCAATGCTACTGCAGTTGAGTCTTGCATTTTTATGGCTTCAATCTCAATAAGTGATCATTACAAAAAAAGCAACAACAACCAAACAAGTTTTTTGAAAAAGTACATGTTTAAATGGAAATGTGAAACGACAATATGAAATAATGTGATGATAAGTGGATATGTGGGAAATATGTAGTAAAATTTATTTTTGAACCAAAACTTGATGTACATATATAGATATATAAATAAATTAATTCATACAAATATATAAAAATATTATGTTGGTTGCTTAAAGAGCCGAAGAGCCTATAAAATATGCCCGTCTGTCTGTCTAACCCTCACTTTTTGAAACATCAAAAGAATCGGCTCATTTTTGGAATTGCCGGTATCGGAGCACTATAACATATATTTGTCACTGAACGATTAAAATCAAGTTCTTCTATGGAAAATAGTATGTTTGTGTATTTTTGTTTATCCTATTTTTTCAAACTACCAAAACTTGTATCTCTTAAATTTATATATCTCACGAACCAATTATGGCGATCTTTCGTAAAAACGATACAAACAGTATTGTGGTCTCCTATCCTAGTCGGCCTGATATAATTCACATAGCAAATTATTCGAAATTAATAAAAAAGATAATAATTGCTAAATTTAATACCCCTATCTCCAAACATATAATATATAACCTTTAATCTAAACTTAAAAGTGAAAAGTAGCAAACAAGTTACAGCAAAAAACCCGTAAAACATAAAAAGGCTAACTAAAATATCAATAAAAAAATGCATGAATATATTAATATAAAAATACAGTTAGTTCCAACTGCAAAAAGCAATTGCCAACAGGATGTGGTTTCAGCATCCTGTGTCTGACGTATCTACAAACACAGAAAAAAGCAAAATATTCCATAAGGAATTATTCGTAATTACAACGAAGGGTTGATTTTTAAAATCATTTCCATTAATAAAAAGTGATAACTTGAACATAATAATGTGATGATAACGTGAAGTTTAATAAAAAATAATTGAGTGATTAACACATACTCAAAGTGAATGTAGGAAAGCAGACAGTGCTGAATGGTAGTTATAATAAGATGAACTGATAACTACTCAGCAATCAACCAACACTATTTTATAAGTTCAACTCAAATTTGGAATGAATTAATTTCGGCTGCACCTAAGCTATAATACCCTTCACAGCTGCATTTTTCATAGCATAAAAGGATATAAAAATATATCTATCTTGACTTTGCTCGCAGATTGTAGCGATGCCTGAGATAATAATCCATGCCAAATTTCGGGAAGATATCTCGTTAAATGAAAAAGTTCTCCACACAAGAACTTGATTTTGATTGGTCAGTTTGTATGGCAACTACCTTTATAGCATAAGTGGTCCGACATTGGCAGTTTCAACAAATGAGCAGCTTTTTAGTAAGAAAAGGACGTGTGCACCGATATCCCGAACGCCGCAAGACTAGTTCGCGTATATCCTTCCTTCCTTTTAGCTGTTACAAATTTCGTGGCAAACTTAATATACCCAGTTTAGGGTACAAAAAACTACTGTATCCATTAATCTAAAATTTTAAGGGTATATTTATACATATTTTAAAAATACACCGCAAAAGTTTTGAATAAAATAATTTAATATTTTTCGTGTTACATGCGATCTCCGAAGACGCTAAAACGGCTACCCACTGCTGTAGTGATTCCAGCATTCTCCGTGCAACGAGAACCCAAAAATAAAAATCTTTACCTATGGTTGAAAAAAAAAATAGATAAAATGGCAAAGAGTTAAAAAGCAAGATTTCAGTTTTACTCAAAAGTTTGGTAGTTTCTCGATTTTTAATCGAACCAAAAAACGGGTAGGTCATTGCGATCATTGTATGGGGAACTATATACAGAACATGAAGAAAAAAATAGTGATCGGAACACATGTCTCTGAGTAATCACTGCAACAAATCCGAAAAATGCTGAATCGAGTAAAACGCGTTTAAAGTTAAACTGATAGAGCTGATTAAACTGAGCGGACTTGAAACTCAAAAAATTCTTGAAATATTAGTTTAAAGTTTTAGTGTGGCATTTTTGAAGGTTTATACTATCGAAATAAGCAAAAAGTGGTAGTGGAACTTAGATTACATCTGGTCCATATTTAGCCATCAACTGCGGACTTAAGTCATAGGATTATACGAGCCAGTGGTAGTTTTCTTTGTTTACTATAACTTTTGAGAACATATTTATTGGGTTTAGTTGTATTAAAGTTTTCTTTTCCGGTTATCTGTAATTTTGGGATACATATAAGTTTATTAGTGTTAGTGGAACGTCATGATTTTCAACGTACGTAGAAATTGCACACTGATGAAAGCTTTATAACCAAATCGATTAGGAAATGGGTGTGAACTCAGCACCTATTATAAAAACATGACCTAACATATTTTTCAACTCTTCATATTCAATGTCTAAGAAATACCTGAAATAAATGACTGATAAATGCTGTAAATCATAATCTCAATTTTCTGACCATTTAAATGGGCATTTAAAATATTTGAAATGTTATAAATCTACAAACGATTTTCGGGTTCTCATTTTGATTTTGCTGTTGACGTAGCCGTAGAAAGTATTCAGCAAATAATTTTGAGAACAGTTGTCAAGTTGACAGCCCTTCGACGGATAAAAATCCGGTTCCGTTCCGTCTACGTAAAACAAACAGTTTTGGAAATGATTAGGCTTACATTGCTTACTTCTATGAAGTTTCTGGAGCATAAAAATGTATGAAAAAACTGTATTGACCTTACTGACAAACCTCTGACCAACCCATTTTTATGATTCATCGAAAAGAGAAATGCTTGCAGCTAAAAACACTAAATTCGTACTAGTAGATCTGAGACTATATATTATATATATAAGAATCGCACCAGTTCGTAACTATTCAGTTTTCATAGCATGGTCGGTGCAAATACCAGCTACACAATTAATAGCTGCAAATTTTCCTCCTACGCTTGCTAAAGTTAGAATTGAAATTTGAAACGTTTACATTTACAATTTGCCGAGTTGATTGTATGGCTTCGTACTTACATTTACAGTTGTACCATTTGTTGGGCGATTTTCAGCTAAGAGCTTGTTGTATTGCTTGTACAGGGCGATAAAAACTTTGATTGCCGCTATAAAATGAGCTAGTATTTATTGCACTAAACGATAACATTATAGGGAAATGGTTTTTATGTGATTCATTCTGTAGTCTTATGGTGGCTATTTCTTTTGTAAAACACTTAAATTTGGTATATACACCTACATATACATATATGTAGAAAAAGTGAGTTGTGAAGAGAAAACTGTTAAACTAATGATTTACAATAAAAATTTACTTTACTGTTTGGATTTTAGTAAATGTTATCTATAAATATTATACTATGGATTATCAGCCAATTTTCGAAATACCTATAAGTAAATATTTTAATATTTCTGCTATAGCCTGATATTATCAAGTGTGTTGGGTTAAGGGCTCTCTTTCGTTGGTCAGACATCTGTATGTTGGAAATCAATATTCATAAAAAATATTTTTCTAGCAAAATTTATTGCAATATCGTGTTCTTCAATTTCCAAATGTATTTCTGAGCTGAAAAAGTTGCATGTGCCGTTAGATCTTAGCTTATGTCTTGCTTATGTCTAAAGTGCAATAGAAGATTGGCAAACATTTTTAAACGATAAATATGCATTGTACTCTTCTTCGACGACATCAGTAGATCCACATGTTTTCTGTTTAGTTTTCTATTTTGTATGATATTTTTCTAATTAGCTAGACCAAATTAGTAGCGGAAACGGAACGATGATTACATATTTCAAATGTTAATAAATTAGATATACCCAGTTAAGAGAATTAGTTTCATTACATCTTAGCTGAAGGTTGGTTCGAAGACTTACTGGTCACAGTGTTGTGGCGGCGCACGCCTCAAGGATAGGGCTGACAAATCAAGAAGACTGCAGGATGTGTCAAGAGCAAGGCAACAGGGAAACAATGAAGCATTTTTGTGCTCTTGTCCTTCATTGGCAAGGTAACACCTCAAACACTCTCATGGACTACGTGACGGCGATCCATCTGATATCGCTAAGGAACAAAACTGGTTTATGCGTGCCTACCAAACTAACCTAACCTAGCTGAGAACATATAAAAATGTCCTCCTAGAATATTCCACGTGTTATTCGTGTAACTTTAGATTA